GTACGATTTGACATTTTGTCTCGTTTTACTCACAAAGAATCACGCCACAGCCTTTCGGTGCCACTATTCTGATCAGTTCTTTTTCATTTAAACAGCAGGTATGCCGCAATCCTTTCCAGAACGTGAAAAAAACATGCCTTTTAGACCTTTACAATCGATGATCTAGTCTGACCCGAAGCAGCTGCAGTAGAGCAGTTGGCACGAATCTCATCAGTTGAAGCAGCCACAATGCTATAAACATCGAACGCCCGCTTCTACCGATTTGGTCAGAGAATGTCTCGTAACCGTCTGGACGCGCTGGTGAGGAATCTGAAAGGTGCTTCAAGCGTCGGCGCTCGTCGTTGAATCGACGAGGCCCTTGCCGTCCTGGCGTTCATGACCAAATCGCTGTCTACATCTCGAAACGGAGCATTTGGGTCCACAGACTTGGAGTGGTAGATTTAAAGCTCAGTACAGCAATGTGTGGGTTTAAATGCTACCACCGGTACCAAGTGCTACGCAAGGAACTGTGATCAATGAAATCATTGTTAGACGTCGACGGTAAACACGTACGTCGCGATATCGAGTTTAAAGGTCTCAAATACAAAAGAGTAAAGGCGCTGCATTTGAACGATGCGATTGAGAAGTAGAAAGCACGGAGACTGTAACATGACAGACCACCTCGCCCGGCATCCTGGGAGAGTCGAATGCTCTTGTGCAACATGAGTGCGCTTCGCCTATCAAAGACGATGTCACTCCGACTAGAAACCATTGGTAAGATATCATGATCGTAGGAGCTAGTAGTTCGGATGGGTAAGGTAGTTTGTGTATGTTGGGGTAGTTGGATGTAAAAGCCGAAGTGAATATATTTAAGGTCCTTAGTTCACTACCCTTAGCTAAGTCTAAGCCTTAATGTAACGACATCCTGTGATCTCATCATGTAACCGCGATCCATAAACTTCTTCCGTAATAACCACCATGAAACACCCTGACACAGAAATCATCACCATGAACCCAACATGAAACGACTGCACGAAGCGGCGTATTCTCAACAGTGTAGCGTAGATTGTGGTGTTGACACTGTGCACGTCTAAGAAGCGTCTCATCGTTTACCAACTGTCACCATGACATCTGAATCTGTCATAAAGACGCTCTCCTCTGAAAGCCAAAGCAACACCATAGGCAAAGCACATTGCCGGTGCTAGTCCGAAGGTCCCAAATCTCTATCACGCAGTGTCCATCAAGAACACAGCGACTGCGCGGTATTCTCAGGACACGGTCGATGATCGTAGCCAAAGCGTACTGGACTCGACAGCGTACGAAGCAAACGTCAAGTACGATGTCACGAGCATCCGGGAACAGCAAAAAATGCGAGAGAGCGGGTGCATTTGCTGCTGTGTACTGTGCGAGGACATGTGTCAAAAGCTGCACTGATTCTGCCATCCAAATCTCCATCACTGCTGAACCTCGGGCGATTGCACGTCTGATGTTGTGGTAAGGAGACAACCACTGAAAAGCGTCAGTGTAAGTGAGCCTGTGCAGTTCAGAAGGACCAACAGTGACGAGTAGCGCCAGTAGGGCGATTCGGTCATACACCACTGGGTTGTAATGGTGCCGGTCGACTTCAGCGTGGAGCGAAGCAACTGTGTACATGGGTTGCTGTACACAACGAGTATGAGATTGCTCACACTCGAACGAGTCTGTGAAAGATTGCAGTGCTGCTTCTCGGCGACGATGCAACAACTCAAAAATTGTATGAATGAGGAGAGCACAAGAGCTGTGATGTCGTTTGTATGTTAACCTGGCTAGTAGCATTGACACGGGCGCTGCAATGAACCCGTCAGTGATTGATCGTTACCGTTAGTATCATTGCACCTTTTGCAGTGTAGTAGGCGGCGTGACAAGACAAAGGGCTTGCAACAGCACATGCATTGGCTTGGCAGGCAGACTTTGTGGCAGAAGATCCGAGTACCACTCGCAGGTCGCTGTAGCTGCGAGGTCGACCCTTTGTATTTCTACTGTTACAGTCGGTAGAATAGACCTCAGTTCCCATCAAAGTGCAAGAAATTGCCAACGGACCAAGAGGTTGTAGTCAGCAGTCGATATCACGGCATCCCTCGCGCAATACCTATATCTCAACGTCGTTCGTCATATCACTGCGCGATTGCTCTGGCCACGCTTACCATACAAAATATCATCCAAAGCCTCAACGTGCAACATTCGCTCGTCTTTCCATCGCTCCATAAGGCATGCGTAAACGATCGAAGCGGAATAACAGTGCCTCGTCGTGACCAAGAATGTCGAGCCAGGGGAGATAAGGGTGTGAGTGACAAGGCAGCTGCGTCGACGTAAGTTCATCCGATGTTGGCCATGATGAAAGATGTAAAAGAGTTGGGGATTGGTCCTGAGAAGAGGAGGCCGGCAAAAAGAAAAGAAGCTGTCCATATCGGACGGTGTTGTAGTTTTTGCCCACGTATCATCGCCCTTTCGACTCCAAACGGGTGTCTGACTTCACTACTTGACATGGCATTCAAGCTTTTTGTCAGTCAGTGGTGAAGAACTTGCAGTCGCGTTGTTGTGCTGTAAGCTCTATCGTGCGTGACACTGCATATTTTTGCACATCCATTCGAAACACTAGCATTGACGCGCCGACAGTGCAGCAGCTGGTAGCCACATGCAAACTCGTATCGAATGAAACCAGTTTGTGCCAGGTCCTTGATCTGCATGTTGAAACTGCTGTACGTGCGAAGGTACCACCACCGGACAAGGCTTGGCCAGGGACGGGATGTACTTGGGCAGGTGAATGTATCGAATGGAAGGAAGACTTACCACAGTAATATTGAGATGGCTGGACAAGCTAATTCTATAAGGAAGCAGAACGACAGTGTGCTGATCGGCATAGCAGAGAAACGTCACGTTTTCTTGGTGCGTGAGATTTCGATGGGCTTGCTCAGTAATTACAACACAGGGACAGACATGTAGCTCAATGGATACGCTCGGCTGTAGAGAGTCAGACGTTCGGGCTATGTCAAGCACAGTGACGAGTTCTGTGATCGAATGCGATACATAAACAACAACAACAACAACAACACTCACGAAGACAGACAGGAAGACAATTGGACCGATTGCAACTTGTTTGGAGTGATTCTTAACACTTGTCACTTGCGAATGTCTTCGACTGCTGGCAGAACTCTCTGCCGTGATGTTTTCACACACTTGAACGCGTCATCCGCGGACGGTTACGAACGTGGAGGCTCATATTTTCGGCATTCTCTTTCGCAACAATCATCACCTTGGACACTAGGGTCGCAATCCGTCACACCACCACTACATTTACAAAGCTGGAAAGCACACCCAGAGTGCACGGCAGCGATGAGGACAGCAATGACTGACAGGAGACGCATTCTTGCTGGTGACGGCAGACGGAGCTGTGGACTTTTGCGTTCAACTGTGCGAGGTAAATCACGGAATGACGCATGGAAAGGGAATGCCCAGGACATTGCGACACATTGGATGCCGTCGACCCAAGCATACAAAGGGAAAGATTTATCCATTGCAGAAGCACGGCATACAAAGAGGAAGATGAAATCCATCGCAGGAGCACGGTGGCGGCATTGCGCAAACAAGACGAGGCTTTAGTGGGTGGCGATGGCTTGGCTCTGCGAGCTCGGTTCCCGCTGGCCGTCACTGATTGGACAGGTCTTCAGCTAAAGAGCGACACGTGCATCGACGAGATCTAGCGTCAGGATGGGGTCATCGGTAGAACCTATTCAGAGGAAAAGAAGCGCAACGTGTCCTGGAAACAGTGGTATGACCACGTGCGAAAGCCTCGTATTACGCAGACAATGCGAGGCTATCGTGGGTTGCGATCAGATGGGTTGGACCTCATTCTGTACGATTTGACATTTTGTCTCATTTTACTCACAAAGTATCAAGCCACAGCCTTTCGGTACCACTATTCTGATCGGTTCTTTTTCATTTTAAACGGCAAGTGTGCCGCCATCCTTTCCAGAACGTGACAACATGCCTTTTAGACCTTCAAATGCAACGATCTAGTCTGACCCGAAGCAGCTGCAGTAGAGCAGTTGGCACGAATCTCATCAGTTGAAGCAGCCACAATGCTGGATACATCGGACGCCCGCTTCTACCGATTTGGTCAGAGAATGTTCTCGTAACCTTCTGGACGCGCTGGTGAGGAATCTGAAAGGTGCTTCAATCGTCGGCGCTCGTCGTTGAATCGCGAGGCCCTTGCCGTCCTGGCGTCCATGACCAAATCGCTGTCTACAACTCGAATCGGAGCATTTGGGTCCACGGACTTTGAGTGGTAGATTAATGCGCAGTACAGCAATGTGTGGGTTTAAATGCTACCTCCGGTATCGAGTGCTACGCAAGGCATCAGAATAAACACTGCAATCTAATTGCCTGGATCTGAGATGAAGAAGATCATTGTTTGACGTCAACGTTGAACGTGTACGTTGCGATGTCAAAATCGGAGGCTTCAAATACAGATAGTAAAGGCGCTGCATTTGCACGATGCGATTGAGAAGTAGAAAGTGTTCAGACGCTCTAAGCATAACTAGACTAAATCGTCATCTGCAGTGGTGGTAGGCGTTGCAATCCTAGTCAAAACGAGGATAATCATGTGAGCGTACCCTTAGTGAACGTAGCAATAGTCTTCGATGCAACTCTCGCAGCTACTTGACAATCGCCCATTAATCATGGGCTGTTACCGTTGATCGAAGCCAAGCTTGCTATCAGTTTCCCCTGTCATCGCAGCAGCAAAAAGACCTGTACGACCAATGTGTCCGACAAGCGCCTGTTCTCGTTTTTCTTCATCCAGTCGTTGGTCGTACACACGACGATCAGTCCGAATGGCTACAGGTCTCGATCAAGTCTGGTGAGCCGCGTCACTAATGCGAGAGACCACTCGAGTGACGTCGCGTTCGTCCTGGCCAATCAATTCGCTCTCAAGTCCCCATTGCGCTCCTCAAGTCCATCTTCGGAGCTCCTCCTCACTCGTGATGGTCCGGAAGAGCAGCAGCAGCACTCGCCCCCGTCGCTCCATCAGTGCGTTAGTGCGAGCCGAAGACGCGGCAGAGGAAGAGATCCTCGAGACGCCAGCGCTCAGCTCCGTTGCGGTCGCTGATCGTGGGTCCAACAGTGAGAGCGACGACGATGTTAATGACCGTGACACTGTTGAAGCAGAAGCTGCAATCGAGCGTCGGCTCGTGGCTGAGGCTCAGGCGGAAGCAGCGACTGATTCGAGCGCTTTAAAGTCCGAGAACAAGCGCGTGTACAATACCGAGGCGCTGCTGGCGCTGGTGCAGGAGTGGGACGCCAAGCCGCTGCCGTGGATCGAGACCCTGGAGACATGTACCGCTCCTTTGGAGCTCGAGAACGTGCACGACGATCTGAAGCGGGAAGTGGCGTTTTACACCAATTCAATCGCTATGGTGCGTGAGGCGAAAGACCGACTGAAGCAGGACGGCGTGGCGTACAAGCGGCCGGACGATTATTTCGCCGAGATGCTCAAGAGCGACGCGCACATGGCCAAGGTCAAGGACAAGCTCATTTATGAGCAGAAGAAGATCACGGCAGTCGAAGAGCGCAAGAAGTCACAGGCGCATCGGAAGGTGGCGAAAGAAGTGCAGGCGGAGAAGATCAAGGAACGGAACATGCAGAAGAAGGAGACGCTCGAAGCTGTGAAGCAGTGGAAGAAGAGGAAAGGCAAAGACACACGCAGCGGCCTCAAGGATGGTGACGATGGCGAGCTTGACTCGATCATCGTGAGTGGCAAGCGGAAGCACACGGGTGGAGACCGTGACAAGGGGAGCAAAAAGCCACGGACGAACAAGACTCGAGAGGCCAAAGATGCAAAGTTTGGCTTTGGGGGCAAACGTCGCCATGCCAAAAGTAACACGAAGGAGAGTACGAACGATATCTCGGGCTTCTCGGGTGCACGAAAAGGCAGCAGGACCAAGGGTCAAGCTACACCGAAAGGAGGCAAACGTGCTGGCAAGACTCAGCGCACGACTCAGCGCACAAAGGGCCGACGGTAGATGGGTGAAAGCTCTGGTTCGTCAGCTACGCTGACGAAGTAGAGACTGCTAGTCGAGAGTCGCTACATTTGATGAGAAGAAAGCTCCTTATTCTTTGTTGGTTGTTCATCACGAATTAGTTCTTGCTGTAGTCTTTCGTTAAGCACCCTGATGAACTTGATTACCATCACTAACACTTTGTCCCGTTCAAAATGGAATATTGTTCTGCTGCATGAAAGCCAGCAGCATCTGCCGTTCGTTTGGTGGCAGCATGTCGAGGTTTTGTGGGGTCGTGTTGCGCGCAAGTTCAGCGATAGCGTCAAAATGACCAGTTGAAGCGCTATCGCCGCCTGCACCGCTGGACTTGACGCGCTTCAGAGCGTCGTGGTCTCCTTGTGTAGGCGCTACCGGTCCTTCGCCAGCGGGATACGGTCTCTTGGCTGCACGCGGATCTCCTCTTCCTGCTCGACGAGGATCGCGACTAGCGTGCGCCAAGTTACTGCTAGGCGGTCCGCTCGAATGTGCTGGTACAGTTGGTGTGGGCATCAAGCCTGATTGGGTCTGGGTGTGCATCGGGCTAGAAGCAGGGGCAGGTCTGTTGGCTATAGCGGCACTCGTCGCCTGAGCAGCCAAAGGCCCCGGTCGTGCACTCCATCGTGTACCACCAGCTTTTGCTGACGCTCCTGGTATTGCCGACTGAACACCTGGCGGGGCCATACCCAGAATACCGGAACCAGATGCCGCAGACCCGCCCATAGATGACCGTGGCGGTTGCTGCATCATCCTTCCTGCCATTGGTGGTGGCTGGTGCGTCATGGGAGGAGGGGCCAGCAACACCGCTTGTGTCTCTGTTGACGACGGAATGGAGATCTGCAGTGTCTTGAAACTCTGCACAAGTGCATGTGTGAGCGCTGGGTTCGCCATCATAATGCTCTTGGTCACCTCTGGCTTCTGCCTCGCATACTCCTTCAGCTGCACCAACATGTCGTACAGCTTGACTGGTCCCAACCGAGAGATGGCCGACTCGATTGCATGGATCGCCATCTCTCCAGTCACTATCGTCGGGTGCCCGCCCTCGCTCCGAAAGTTGCTACCAGTAGCTCCTCCCGGCCGAGATTGGCTTCCAGTCTCGTGACGTTTTCGTTCGGACCCTCCAGACTTGTCCCCACCGTCGGCAAAGTCCACCCGGAGGTTGCGTCCATTGATCTCGTACCCATTGAGGTTCCGCATGGCACTTAAAGCCGTGGCTCCGTCTGCATATTCACAAAAGCCATAGCCCTTGGGTTTCCCAGTCTCTCTGTCCGTCACGAGGCTGCAACCAGTTGCAACGTACATGCAAAAATGACATGAAGTCACGTAATTTTATTCGTCGGGTCTCCATTATTTGTAGCCATTGTGCAAGTCTCACGTACCGAAAATTCACGACCGATCCAGCTTCCGAGAATATTTCCTTGAGCATTTCTTCGGTCACATCGTACGGAATATTTCCAACTGTCGATAGACATTTGCGAAAAAATTACAACAACAATCACAAAGATTGTCATAAATAATAACAGTTAGAGACGAGCATAAGACAGAAAAATAATGGGGGTTTGGTACTATGCAAGGTCAGCACGATAAAGGATACAAGCATGACGAGGTGACGGACGTACCGAATACACTGCGCTCCTTTGCGGAGCCCGTGCGGGCCTTAGTGCTCATGACTGCGCGACCTTTAATTAAGAAAGTAGCGATAGAAACGCACTTTGATCTAAAAATTGTGGTAAAAATGAACCGATTTGTAGACACCTGTATTATCTAATAGACTCTATGATCGGTAAGAAATAAAGCGAGTTGACTCTTGCTGGATTTTACTTGTGTGGTATGTGTCCTGATCCCTTTGACATTACATACAGCTTGCATTCCTATTAGAATTTGACACCAATGCTTTATTTGCTTAACTCGTTATTGTAGCAGACTAAAACATGCACGATTAGAGCACTACCTGGTATACATCATAAAAAAGGTGTGTACGAACCAAATTTGATCGCACGAGTGTAGAACAGGTTAACGAGAATGATCAGCAGTCATAAGGAGTCATTTACAGGGCAGGACTCGCAAAGTACCAGACGGAAGTAGTATTTCGAGCGAAAGAAAGCTTGATAAGAGCCGCTTCGCAACATACGAAGAGATCCACGAATAATAACGATCTTCGAATGGATCGGGCAGGTAAAGAAAGACAAACGTTGTTAGCGAAGTACTACGTATGATATGATCCCAGAGGCTGAAGGAGCTTAAGGTGTTTTACTACACTAACTGATCAGGCCAGTTTGCACTTCAAAGCTCTTCGCTATGCTACTGACAATCAAAGACGTCAGGTACATGTGCGATAGTAGCGACGCAGATCTTCATTGATGATTGAGCTTCGGCGGGTAGTGTCTTGACGCGTAAAAGCTGCAGGTTCGATAGGTCGTGACTTGCCTTTTTCCGGTCCACTGTTTCCTTCAGCTGACCTCTGCCCCGACTGTCAAGCCGGTACTTTCGACCGCGGTTATTGAGTTGCTACGGAGAACCTGAAGCTTGTTTCATCGATACAGCTTGGCTTCTTGCTCGCTCATTGTACTACAAGAAGAAGTTGTCCGTCTGCTGCATTTTGGACTGTGAGCGTTGCCGTGTGCATCATCTTTTTCCTGGTCGCAGTACAGGTCAAGACAGACCGTCTGATCAAGCTCTTCGTTAGTCTGATCACCTATCTAAAGCGTGAGACCAAATACTTGTCCTCCTCGCGTCTCCACTCGCTCCGACTCGACAACTCGTCGGTAAGCCGGACGTTCCTTGGACTCATTAGAAGTGACTGAACGAATCAACACGTAGAGTACATGTAACGAGCCGTTTGCATCCATCCGTGAGCGTAGAGAGTACGACGTACGTGAAAGGCGAAGAGTGTAACAGAGGTCGACAAAACGTGCGGACATGATCCTTCAGTACAGTACTTCCTCGATCGACGGATCGAATATGGAGTGTCGCTCTGTCTCTTCGCCCGACATGTGTCAACGACACGTTCGTCGGCATTGCTTGACATTTTATAGTCCAGTCCGCCGTAGTATCCAAGGGGGCGACCCGCTTTGTCTTGCCCTGTCGTTCGTCGTATTGGAATCTGTTGGCTTTTAGTCAACGTCGTTGCGTCGTTCCGCTTACCATCGGGTCATGTTTGACTCCCCGAGAATATCGACACGATACGAATCTTGTCAAGACGTCGAGCCAATTTGTTTACCTTCACTTCATAGATTGCGCTAGAACGCAGGTGGTGCGTGCTTTCGTCGCCGCCCACGACTCGACAAGCGAATCCAGTCAACAATCGACCGATTAAGGAGGCGAGAAACGAACGTCATGTGGGGACATCTTGTGTAAGTAAGTAAGTCGCTCGCTAACGATGCCGAGGTCTTTGCCTCGTGTGCGTTTCAACTACTAGAGAGAAAACTACCCACTTGCCACTGCAGTAGCGGTAAGGAGACAGACGAAGAGCCTCGAGATACACCGTGAGCAACGAGGGACTTGTCGACTTGTTCAGCCCCAGCAGTTATGACCAACCACTTCCCTTTGCTCTACAACTTGTTCCCATTGCTGTATGCATTCCCCTTCTTGTCGATGATAAATAGTACGACTCCACTGTCTCGCTCCTTCTTCATTCATCGAGCAGAGGGCGTCGGTATTGAAGCAACTAGTAGACAGTGTCTTTGCCCATACTCGTGGCTCCCCTCGCTCCTAATGGATGAGCCACGGTTTCGATCGTGCTGAACTTTCTAGACGCGTCGTGCGTAGCAGCACATCGTCCGAAGCGTCGTCACGTTTCAGACGACCACACACGCAGACACACACACGCAAAAAGAGACAAACAAAGAGACAGACACACATAGAAACAGAGAGTATATCACAATGTCGTGACACGTCTTCGTGTGGACGTGGCGCTTTGCAATCGAGCGAGCGATCGATCAATCCTCCGACGTCAAAGCCCTCGCTTGTTTTTTTCTCCCCCCCCACACACACACCCGCTCGGCCCTTCTGCACTCGCTCTCTCTCTCTCTCTCTCTCTTTCGCCTGTTCGGAGCCGAGCACTGCTCTGTCTTTACTGCTGTTCACTTTCCGACTGGGTTCCCAGCACCCGATTGCCGCCATCGTACCCCACGTCGCGTCGCGTCCATCCATTCACCACTTCAGTCTTCTTGCCTTCCTGCCTTCCTTTCTTCCATTCAATGTCGCTCACGTGGCTCCGCCACCACGTCCGCCATCGCGACCGCAACGCCCCTCGATCGCATCGCTTTAGCAACCAGCGCTTCGAAGCCGCCGCCGCCACCACAATGCGACCTCATCGCACTCACACAAAGGCCAAAGCCCTCGCTCCTTGTCACATCACGTACGATAGTTCCTTTGTCGCAGACCGCAGCGTCACGTCTCGCGACGCAAACTGGACAAGTGACGAGCAGTTGAAGCGCCAATGCCTCCGTCTTGGCTGGCACGTCGTGGCTACCCGCAAAGACGGCAACTGCCTCTTCCGCGCCCTCAGTGACCAGCTCTACGGCCACGAGCGACGGCACTTGGAACTCCGTCGGCGGCTCGTGGACTTTATCGACCTCGAACGCACGTGCTTTGAACCGTTTCTTGAGCGCAGTGACGACATTGTCGCGTACTGTTCCCGACTGCGTCAAGCGGGGGCATGGGGAGGTCACCCGGAACTCGTGGCAGCCTCGAAGCTCTTGGGGGTCACGATTGTCGTCCACACAGGTCCCGTCAAGCGGTTGCGGGTTTGCGATGCAATGGAGACAGCCAAGCCAAAGGAAGGGCAGGGCAAGACCGTCAACCTCTTGCTCATGCACGACCACTATAGTAGTCTCCGAAAAGACGGGAAACCGAATGGGGAAGGCCAGCAACTTGGGTGTTCGGAGACGTGTTTATGTCGACGTCTCTTTGCACCGTCAAGTGACGTTCGAGCCTCGTTGGGGGCGTATCAGGGACACTGGTGTTCCGATGTGAGTAGTGCACGCAGCTCTTTGGGGGGGACTCGACCTGGAGAGGTGACAGCGGAGAAACGGGGACGAACGTTGAGGGAATCGAAAGGGGCTTATGGACGCAAGTCCGTGCCGGCTGCCGACTTGAGGACGGCCTTTTGTGACGAGGATAGTCCCGTGCATAAGAAACTGCAAACGAGTGCCGTGGTCAAGCCAAACGTGCCCCCACCTCCTCCTCCTCCGGTGGAGGTTGGGACTACAGAGGTGGCAGTTGTAACGGACGGTGCATCAATGCGGTCATTGAGATCAACTACTTCAGCTAGACCAAAGGCTCCTGCAGCACCTCCTGTGACTGGCAAACTCGAGGTTGCACGGAGTAAACCAAGCTCAACTTCAGCGGGGAACTCAAAGAACCCGGGCGTGGTGTTGTTTGAACCAGAGGCACTGGGGCCTTTGACAAAGCCGCAGGTCCCGTTAGTGGTGCTGTTTGACCCGGACCAAGCTTCAGATCAGGGATTGACAACGTCCAAGAAATCAACGACGGCAGCTAATGCTGGACCAGTGGTGAAGCCTACTTCGGTCAAGATCGTGCAAGTGGATGGAAGTGGACCTGAACCGATACTGGAAAACCGCAAGAAAGCAGCACCTCAGCGAAGTGTCCACCGACCATGTCGTGCTGTTTTTGAAGGTGGCAGACGACGTCGATCCGGTTCGTCGGCGCGGGTATCGATGCAGGAGGTCTCGACCAGCTTGAGTGATGCTGCAGTTTCTGAGGTGAAACCCGTCACGGTCAAGTTGGCAAAGACTATGGTTACAGCTGAAGTGACGGCAGTCAAGCTGCTTGAGACGGTCCAGCCAGTAGCGAGTCCGGTGGCTGCTGATGAGCCGCAAGCGCCGGCACCGCGTCCAATGGAGATCAAGAGGTCGAGCAAGAAAGTGTTTTGCCGCGGTCGCCTCGTCGCTGCGGGTTGAGGATCGGTTGTGCCGCCGTGAAGTACTCGAGATTGCCCGTGCTGAATGAAAGCCCGTGGCTTGTAAGATATATAGACAGACTTGCTGTGACGCCCTCTTATGACCATGTCTTCGATCGAAGAGGACGGAGACAGACCAGTAAAGTGACGGATTTGTCACTATGATTTAACACCAAGCACAAGACACATCATCTACTGCTCCCCATTACCAGGATCACTTAAGTGATCCCGCATTGTCCTTCGTTCGCATTCAAAGGGTCGATGTCACTGAGATGAGATCGACATTGACAGGTTGTATGCGTTTCCTAGGCAGAATCACAATTGCTAAGCTCATAGCCAGCAACAGTGGATGAAGATCACACGTTTGCAACACTCTCTGACATGGTGAGTTAGAAGACGAACATCTTTTCATAAACACGCAGCAACTGCAGGTCGCCATTCATTTTCTCTCGCAGTACACTGCACGAAAACCCGCGGGACTATGCATCTCGAGTAATGAATCTGAAGAAGAAGAAGCAGCCACTTCTACTTCCGCAACTACATGGGTGGTGAGTGGCCAGTACTACTTCCATACAGTTAGCTTCATGAGCGTATCCTTCCAGTGCATGTACTAGAAGACCACGGCTGTTGCATGTTGCATATGTCCAGTAAGATCTTGTACACGTTCATGTCACGAAGGACTTGGGCCGCGACCAGCGCACAGAGTCACTCACCACTTTGGAGCAAGGAAGTAACGATGCCCATCGGAGAAGCATCACACACAAACAGAGACGATCAGCAGGTGGTAATCACCGACTGCCAGACGCTTTGACCGATGCAAGATGTAAGAGCATAGAGTGTTGGTTTGATACGCCTCGGCTCGTCCACGGATCTATTTGGCGCGTGCCCGAGTCGAGAGTCAATCCACACGTCCTTCTGACTTTGTAGAAACAACCGGTTCGGTGGATGAGAGGTTTGAAGTAGAACGCCGCCTAGACTTTCAACGAGGCTTTGGTCCATGACGACGCCTGGCAGTCCGCAGCTTCACATAGACGAGCTCATGAACCAAAGAGTCCATGAACTGCCACATGTCAGCCGTTGATTGAGTGGCAGCAGGGCAGCGAGACCTCTATTCTTACGGGGTTTGACTGTGACACTTACTGTCCAGAGCTACAGTGCTGCCGTTCAAAGGAAAGAGACAATACAAAAGCGGTCGCTCGTGTGTGTCCCTGGACACGAGAATGTCAAGAGTTAAAGAGCGTCATTGCAGTTTCCTGCGCGCATCGTATAGAACCGACGGTGGCGTGTACTGGGCAGTGTTTGCACCTTCGACTCTTGGATCCGTGACACGTGACGTTCGCATTGTAGGACCATTTCTACATTCGTTGGATCTCTACTTTACAGTTGGCTGAGGAGACTGTAGACAGACATTCAGCCCGATCAGGTCACATGCTACTGTTGAAGGTCTGGTCAAGAGTGATGGTCAGGCTGAAGCAAAGTCACGGAAGTGGCCACAACCGAACGGCAGGTTGAAGTTCAAGCACTTACATGTCACGCATGGCGAAAGCGGGCTGACTCATTGAACAGGCGTCTCAAAACAGACAGAGGCGCTCAAAGGAGCCAGAGTTACCGCCGTGTGCTCCAAAGATGCAGAAAAAGGCAGACCACTCTTGGTTTTGCTAGACCAGCTACAGTATGATGCAGACGGGGCCATGCGGATACTGCACGGATTTATCGCGCAAGAAGTCTCGACGTCGTTAGAGAGAGATTTATGCCGCGCGGTCCTTCAGATCACCCTGGGGTGATTTGCGAGTACTCTGACTCAGTTTGAACTCCTTACAGGACCCGCACCCCTCATTACACTATGGGGCTTTTCGGCTTGTAGGGCCTCCGGAAGGCACCGGCCACCCATTGGTGGTTGCTCGTCTACATTATTAGCCTATCTCCGGCGCCCTGTAATCGAACCCCCACCGGGTATCCATCCAGGTACCTCCCGGTCCCAGTTCCAGTGGTCTACCACTCGGCCACTGGGGTCGGTCTCGACGTCGTTAGAGGTGCGGAAATGGTGTACAATGGACCTGATACTGCAGTATCTGATAACCTCTGTAAACTGTCAAACAGTTCAGGCTCGACACCACTCTCTTCGTCAGGAGGGATGGATTCCTAATCTGATAACCTGCGTCGACCGACACACGTCTCCGGTCGCAAAAGTATACGTTTAGACAGGTCTCAGTGTCCGTCAATCAGAGGATGTGTTAGATGCGGCATTTTTGTTGCTCGGCCTGAGTCACGCCATTCGTTCAGTGTCACAAAACCTGAGATGGACTTCATTTTAGCGCGTGGCTGTAGTGATGATTCGAGGGTTCATGTGGCAACTTCGAGATCGTGCGAGCTAGCGTATCGACTTGCCCTATGGCAATAATGAGCGACGCTACATCGATCGACAGCCTTCTGCAATGGCATTGGAGATACTCATGTCGCGGCGAGTCTTTTCTCGACAATGTACAACTTCCAGGAAGTTCCAAAGATTAGCTCTATTTGCACGGCAGAGTGAGCCTAAAAGCGTGTCAATACTTGACCGGCGCATGGGCCCGGTACAGTTGTTCAATGTGAGGATGAAACGGGGCAAACACCTTCAACTGGTCAGCAATAACGAACCGCGTCGACGAATCTCGTCGCGTGCGGATCCAGTTCTAATCACGCAGGCACAAAGAGTCGTTTTCGACCTGGTTTTAGGTGCAAAGAAAGCAGACTTAACTAGGCGCGTCATCTCTCCTCAAAGCATTCCTGAGTCACCCACGACGCTGGCAATCTCGGCTGCTGCGACTGGGACGAAGGCCAGCCCTATAGTAGATCGAAGAATAGAAAGATAGAAAGTCGGTGTCGACAGATTCGACAGACTACAACAGCGTATGCACAACGTGCTTTTTATAAAAAGCAGCAGCACGCACCATGGGGCCAAGTTGCAGCAGGCCGAATCGCCAGCTGCCATCAGTAGTGCGGGAGAGCCGCTGTCGTCGAGACTGTCCCCGACTCTGTACGGCCAAAAGAAGAACCGCGACTCAGTTCGAAAGCTACTCGGTCACTAAACCCGACACCTAGCCGCCTTTACCTCCGAATTAGACGCTGAGTTACGCTCGCAGTCCTAATTCGTCGTCCTGCGCCCTCTTTTTCTACCCATCTCCGTCCCCCAATCGACGGCCACCTGCCCGTTATTTTCTCGCTCACCCAGCGCCAGAGCCGCAGCAGTAAGAGCAGTTGCCATAAAATTGCTGGGCTCTCCCCCGCCAGACGAATCCCCCCCTCGTCGCCATTCCACTCGTCTCTCTTCAATCGCAGCACGTCACGCCATTGCTGCCGCCGTCCCAGTACGAGCGCTGTACAAACAACGTACCCCAGTACCCTTCGTTGTCGCCAGCACGATAAAAGTAGTAGTACGTGTTTCTCGTCCTCGGACTACGGACTACTGCCACTTCAGGAAGGACTGGTACTGTACTTCACGTACGTATAACGTGTAGTATACTACTCAGTCGCCTCCTGTGTCCCGTACACATTAATGGGCGAAACGCGGCGTGTCTCTCGACCTCGAGACCCCAGCAGCTCCATGAGCGCCTATCTACCCTTCCAGCCCACGAGCATGGTCCACTTTAGTCCCACTGGAATGGGCCACAGCCTCTCAAGCGTTCCAAGTCATAGCGACGGACCGCCCCCAGCAGGACAAACAGGCGCAGGCGCCTTCCTCTCGCCGTCGTCCAGCACGTGTCTCATTTGTTATAACGCACACGCAGACGTGCTGCTCGAGCCATGTCATCACCAGTTCCACGCGCGCTGCATTGAGCACGCGCTGGCCAAGGACAATGCCTGTCCGACGTGCTGGACGCCTGTTCGGACGCCACGGAGGCTGTTGACCCAGCAGCAGCAGCAGCAGCACTATAGGGCTCAGCTGTCCATGCAGCAGCGGGGTGGACTCTCTCACGGTAATGGCAGTTACTCGGTGGATTCGAAGACACACGTGCTGGAAAATGGAAGCAGTGAAGTAACGCTACCGTCGCCGTCTCATTCGACTTCGAATAGTAGTAGTGGTAGTAGTGGTAGTACTACTACTAGTACTACTATTGCTAGTGCTACCGACTCGAGCGGGCAGACGGTGCGGACTGGTGGTGGTGGTAGTGCCGTGCCGGTGGCGGTGATGCGAAAGGGCAAGTGGACGGCGGAAGAGAGCGCGTATTGTGACCGATTGATTGAAGAGTTCAAAAAAGGCAACTTGCCGCTGGCAGAAGGGACAACGTTGCGCACGTTTTTGTCCAAGTTGTTGCATTGTGACCCCATGCGGATTTCGAAAAAGTATACAGGCGACCAATGTATTGGCAAGATTATTTTCCGTCGACGGGAGGACGAAGTGGTCAAGGACGATGTCGAGGCAATTCGCAAGGAACTGGCGGAGCTGGAAAAGACGTATTTGGAACGGGAGCAGTATAACCAGCGACGACGGGAGAAACGACTCGAGTCGGAGCTGTCTCGTGATAAAAACCGCTTTGCTGCCGCCAGAGCCATGGGATACGCACCAACAGCAGTCTCAGGCGCTGCAACTGGCGGCCGGTCGCCCCATACACCGTTACCGCAACAATTGCAACATCAAGTACAACAGCGACAAGATGGGGGTGGCTTTTCGCCTGGTTCTGTCCAGTCGATGAGTCAGCACGATACGCGACCGATACTTCTGCAAGAGCCACTTACTGGAGGATACGGCCCCCTCGGTCGAGGAGGAGGTCTCCTGCCCGTCCAGCCACCGCTTCATCCTCCGCAACAGCCGACTCATACTGCCTCGTCTCATTTATTTACTACTGACCATAGCAGCATGGCACTGCTGGGCATTGCAGGCGCGCCAGCTGCTCAAAGTCAAGGCCATGGACATGCTCAAGACTCGAGACCATCTGGTGGTAGCAACCCGTCCATGGACGGCAGCTCAACTGACGCGTTTCCTCGCGTCTCGTCCATCGACAGTTTCTCGTGCTTGTTCCCTCGCGTGGCCAGCATTGACAATTTCCAACACGCGGCGTCATCAGGGTTCGGGGTCCTCACGTCCAGCGGCTCGTACGCGTTAACGACGGAGCCTCTAACGTCAACAAGCAGCGGGTTTGACACGCCGTCGCCTGGGCTGCCAAAGCCGCTGTCTATTGGCGAGAGCTTGAACACTTATTTCCCACGTATCCAGTCGCTCGAGCAGCTGTCGCATCTGCTGCAGGATCACGGTCCCAGTAGTCCCCGTGGGGCTATGACGGCTTTAAACTCACGCGAGGCAATGGAAAAGAAGGCAGAAGACACTGCGAAACAGCAGCATACCGAGGAGAGTGCCGTCTCGGGGAGCAGTCGAAGAAACAGTGGCGAGAAGGAGGGACGTGAGGAGCAGCACCGGGATGATGACCGGGTCAAGACCGAGCCAAGTGCTTGTGTCAGCAGCGATTCTTCTAGCTCCAGTGTCGAGTCGGCTGCAGCTATTGGAGGCACGAGCAGCGCTGCGAGCTCTGGAGGGACGAAACGGCTGAGTCCTAGTCACAACGCTTCAGCTTCGTCTGAATTGGGGAACCAGATCCAGATCCCGAAACCGCTGAATAAAATGCCGCGGAGCTCGTCGGGGATCTTCCCGCGCGTGCCGTCGATGGACAAAATGTCTCAGACTGCCTCTGTTGATAAACTCCCTCGTGTCGCTTCGCTGGAGAAACTACCGCGGATTCCATCGATGGATAAACTCCATTCAGTGGGCGGTAGCGAGCAACGGATTCCAAGGGTTCCTTCGAGTGACATGATGGCGCGTGTGCCGAGCTCCGATATGCTGTCGCGCTTTGGCTCAAGCGACCATCTCAGCAGCTTTCCGTCGTTTTCAAACTTGAGCGCACTTTCATCGAGTGCTTCGTACGACAAGTTGAGCTCGCTGGGTGGGTTCAAGTCGGGCTTTCCGCGTAACTCGTCGATCGAGGACATTTTGTCTCTCGTTGCGTCGTCCGAGTCGACAGGTCTGTCATCGAATGGCTCGGCCTTGCAGTTGAGCGCACTGGCTGCAGTTGCTGGCGAGGAGTCATCCCACCTTGCTAATGAACGGAAACGGCGGCTGGAGAGCTCGCAGCAGGACACGCCGCTGACGGCTGACAATAAGAAGAGCAAGTTGTCGGCCTGAAGGTGAAGCGTCGACCACGCAAGTACTCCTCACGCGAAGGATTGAGGGCGGCTGGCCTGCATGTAGAAGAAGTCGATGATCAAAAGGGAGATATGGCCAAGTTTGTCAAGACGGGAGAAGGTACTTGGATGTTGTCTGTCAAGAAGTGATCAACAGCTGCAAGTGGCCAGGAGAGGCGATCGTATCACTGGCGGTGTCGCCGTCTTCTCCTCGGCGGTCAACTTTGCCAGATCGTCTTCTTCGTCTCCTTTTCATGCCGCCGGTGTTGTGGCGACTTGTTAGTGTAGTTAGTGTTAGCGCGTGCAGTATCATACAATGTCTACTTGCATCCAATGCTGGTGTTATGACTTACTATACGTGCCTTCTCTCGTCGTTCCGTCCAACAGCTTCTGAAAAGCGACTCAAGTCTTGTTTCATTATGAGTCAAAGCTGTTGGTCGTGTTAAAAACTGGGATCAAGCCTGATGTTGAACTAGTTTGCCAAAGTGTTGACAACAGCATTGGCACAGTAGATCCAGCGGTAGAGCTCGTAAGTATCTGCGGTTTTATGAATCACATGTACAGCTTTGAGATCGATCTCCGAGTTCAACGGACTCATCTCGTAGCCACATCATGAACGCAATAACTGTCCATCCACAACTAATAAGTTGCGACCACTGTCTTCACCAGCTTGTCAACGTGTTCCGTTCGTTCCGCTTGAACTAACCAACGCACATCAGTAAACGCGTGAGCAAAACTCTGATGAACATCAAGTTAACAAAGTTCTAGCATTGCAATACCAAAGGTACTGCGTGCAGTAGACCAGCAAGTGCTTCGGTCCTCTCTGTGCTGTGCACTTATCAGCTTACCGTCATGTATCGACCATCCCTATGTATCAGCAGCCTCACTGGATCCCCATCCCAATCATCATCTTCCACTTGTCACCGTCATATAGCAGCACCTTCCGTATCATCACTGACGATCTCCATTCGATCGATAGGACACACCTGTCGATACTGTAGCCATTGTTCAATACAATGAGCATGAAAAACATGACCACAAGGCAGCGCCGTCACGCTTTCTCCTTCTTCTTCTTTTTCGGTGCTTTTGCTACCAGTCATATCCCCATCCATGCAAATGACGCACATATGGTCACAACTTGTCGCCCGTGGCCCCACTTCCACCACCGATTGTACCCGACTTGTCCCGATTGCAGCAACAGTCGTTTCTTGGACCCGTTGCAGATAATTTGTCATATCAGACACATTCTGTTCCGCCCGCTGTAATGTCGACGCTAAAAGTCCCTGTTTCCTGTTAATCATCACCGAAGTTGACAGCCGATGGCGATGGTAACTCCGTGCGTTTTGCTGTAGCGACAGCGCCACGACATGTGCAACTTCTTGGGCCAAGTGTCGAGTTTCGAACCCGTTCGTGAGACCAAGCGGTCGCTTCGAGAGCCGACGATTCATCACTATAGGACTATCTATAGTATCGGACCTTTTCTATAATCATGCGAAGGGATCCAAACACACGTCCAGTGACTTATGACATATGACGGATGGCTACACAAGAAGCAGAAATAACATGTGCAAACAGCATCGTTTATCGAGGACTGCTTTAGGCTTCCTGTTGCTCTCTCCTGTAGCGAGCGAGCGAGCTCTACTCGTCTTTGCTCGACTTGTGCTTGCTTTTCTTCAGCTTCTTTTTCTTCATCTTCTTCGTGTCCTGCTTCAAATCAGCCCCGTCCTTAGCTGCAGCTCCGTCTTCTCCGTCCGATTCTTTTCCGCTGAGCTCCTCGTCACTGAAATCGCTCGACTCGCTCCCTGAAGCATCGCCAGGTCCAAAGTCCGAGTCTTCCTCGTCCTCCTCGTCTTCAATCTCCCCTTCTTCCGGACCCAGATCCTCGAGATACTCATTAAAGTCGCGCTTCTTTGAGCCTGCTGGGGCCCCCGCAGCGTGGGATTCCTTGAGGTTCCGAATGCGCAGCTTCTTCGACGTCAAAAACTGACTGAGCTCGGGGAACTCGCGCCGATCAATTGCCGAGAAAAGGTACTCCCGAGCGGCCTCACCACCCACGGACTTGCAGCTCACGAGCAGATCAAAGTTCCGACTCGCTGACGACCCGCTCTGTCCAGCGTAGCGCTGGAACTCAATGTAGTCAATCTCCTCGTAGCGAATAAACGTCGTGGGCTTGTGAATAAACATAAACGACTTTTCCAGCGGGAACAACACGCCGCTCTGCGCCTTGACTGCACACTTGACCGCCCGGTCGCCGCTGTGCGTCTTAAACTTGCCCGACGTGTACACTTTCTTGCCAATAATAAACTTGAACAGCGTCGCGACAATCTGCGGCAGAGCGCCCGACATGCGTTCGTGGATGTTCCCATTGTACTTTTTAATCTCGTCACTGGACAAGTGCACGTCAATGTGCACGTCGTTCTTGCTCAGCTGCAGCACCAAGTGCGGATAGCCCTGTTTCCCCTGTCGAATCGGTTCTTCCAAACTAATGACAAACGCCGTGTTGATCCCGTTCGGGAGCTCCAAGAGAAAGCACCGATTGATGTTCGAGTACATGATCTTATAGTCAAACGTCTTGCCGTGCATGCGCAAGAACGAGCCATAGATCTCCACCCCGTAGCGCCCGCGAGGCGTCAAGAACGTGCCAATCGTCTCGTCCAGGTCCACGATGCTCTTGCCCATCACACTGCGAATATTGGCTTTTTCCAGCACTTGTTGACGAAAGTCTTCGGCAGTCACACCGTCATCATCACCGTCACGTCCGTCACTGGGAGGCAAGTACAGCCGCATCTCCACGAGCGTCTCCTCGTCGCCAGCAACAGTGTCATCTTCGTGGAATTGCAGCTCCACTTCGTGCTTTCCAGGCAGAGCGCATTGCGAAATCTGCTCCAATGGGAGCTCCATCACACTGGCGTGCGTGGCGCGAAAATTCAAGTTAGGGCCTTCAAATTTCATCATGCCCCAATTCCCGCCGCTTGCAGCAACTTTCTCTTGCTCGAGTTCCCGGTCGAAATACCGCTCGACGTGGAGCTTAAGTTGCGCGACGTCGTGAGCTTTCAAACCGGTAAACCGAACGTACGTACCGCCTTTTTGGTACACTTTCAAATGGTGCGTCTTGGGCCCCACTGGCGTCCACAAGAGCGTGACAATGTCGTCTTTCAGCAGCTTCTTCTGCCCTTCAGTGGCACGGCTGCGCCATAAGAGACCGGAGCTAGAGAGCACGAGGACACCGGCGCTGTGGCCCCAGAACACGTTGCTGAGCGTCGTGTCCGACATTTGTGGTACGGCTACGCACTGGAGGCGATGGGGTGCGAACTTAAGGACGTCCGGCGACGGAGGTTTTGGCGATTTTGGAGATGTTGATTTGAAAAGGTACGAGATTCATGCGATCCTATTTTGTGTCGTCTTGATTTTGCTCGCTATGGTAGTTGATTTGTCGGTATCCGTCGGTTTTTGGAAATCGCGCTGGGTGCAGGTAATTTATTGGATAAAAATAAGAAGGGTCGAAGGAAAGCACGAGTTTAATTTTGTTCGGTAGTGTGAATGCGCTGTACTGCAAAACAGCTTTGAAATCGTAGTTTACGACCGTCTGTAAGAAACAAATAGAAATAGAAATGAAGCATAGTTTCCCAAAAAAAGACTATACATCTGCGATGTGTTATTTGAGGTGTTGGTGTTTACTCCCGTTTCAATAGAGAATTGTACATTTCCCCAACATGTTTCCCTATTTCCACCACACCATTAGCTTTTGTTTGAACAAGTCAGAACACCAAACCACACGAAACTACCACACACCCACATTACGGATAGTGAGAGACCTTTGCAGCCGAACATCGATACAAAGTTTGGGAATCAGACACGATGGTGGTTAGCAACCTGGTTCATCTTCACCGTTCAAAGCAGCTCAATACTCATATTGCAGCACTTGAAGTCCGTATCCGAAGTGCCCGTGCACGTAATTATCGTTGCCCCCTATTTATTTCAGGACACGAAACTTTGTGTACAACATCCTACGTAAGGTCGCCTCATGTGTGTTCCAAACAGAATGATTACTTATGTTACCAATATAGCTCATGAGCATCGAGTGAGCATCCGGCTGTACAAGATTTTTCATAGCAGAAGCACAGAATGCTCGGCGTCTTAATCGTGCATTGCTGTCCTTTGTCTCGACACGTCTCTGCTCCACCAGACACATCTTCTTGTCATTCCGATTTCGCAGGCACGAGCGTTTGTCATGATGAAATCTACTGCTCAGACTGCATTGACAACGACATCCTGTAGCATGCTCAAATCTGAATGGATGTCGCTTTGTCGACGACTCTGCTTGTTACTCTTCCCAACGAGCCTGAACTTAGTTTAGACCACATTGGGATCACTGAGGGAAGGCATCTGACCTGACAGAAAAACGGCAATCACCGCCCGAGCGATCCCGCGTTTTGCTGTGGGCCCTACCTATGACCTCCTGCAGCCGATCCGTGCACTGGTCAGCTCCGTAATTCGAGCCTAGCTGTCTCTACTCGGCTGTCGGAAATGTAGGCGCCAATGCTGCAATTGTTTCGTATTCGCAAAACTTGCCCATGTCATGAGCACAGGATAGACCCAGTGTTGTGCGGAATGCTCTGCTGCATCTGTAACGTTTCATCGGTAACCGCGCTGCAGACCAACAAGTCGTACTGGGTACCGATCAGTCACAACGCGTACTGTGATGTGGCGTCAGAGTCGCAAAAATGTCGAAACTTTTCGCAAATATGCGGCATTCTGGTTTTCTGCACCTCAACAGCGGCGCGGAATTCCTCGACTTAATGAGTTATGGCTGGTACATGCGCTCTCTGACGTCATACAGGTCCCCGGTGCCGACCTGCAATGCCTCTTCAGTGTTGCACTTGAACCCTCTGCTGTCGAAGTTAATAAATATCCGAAATGTGTGCAATCGCTATTCCATGCTGCGACAAACTTCTCTTTGCGCACTAATCATGTCTCAATAAGATACTTTCACACTGCCGGAACATCTGAAACCTCATTTACAATGTCTTTCCTGCATACTTGAACCTCGTCACGTGTGCGGGCCAAACAAAGTCCGGTCCACATCTGCAGGAAGGCCTCGAGCCGGTCTTTTTCTATAGACAGAGCCTTTCCCTGTGCGATGACATTCTTCTGAATGTACCACAAGCACAAAAGGTGTCTGGATCCAGGGGATACACGTGGCAATGCTGCTACCAGTGATGCATCTGCATTGGAGACTACCACAGCTGGAAGTGCTTCGTTGACATGCAGCTGGTTAACGTCCTTCAAATCCCATACATAGTCATGTTCAGCTTCTCATCTTAGAAAGGCGAAACTAATTGAGAAGCTGTTGTTAAGGTTTTGTGCGGCCGACGAAATAAGCAACGGCAAATTTAAAGCGGTCGGTCTTGTAAGAACAGTCTGTCAAGAGCACTTAGCTCGAGTGTTTGTCGAGCGTCAGAATACACATGCGCAAAAAAGAGTTGTTTATACTACCAGAATAGCTGCACTCAAGCGTGCAATAGAACTGGTTCGATTCAAGCTCATTCGTCAGCGCTTGAATTGGCGTCTGCAATCCAGGATTACGTGAAGACGCTTTATTTTGGCATTACAGAGATCATTCTTGCGATCACCAAGCATGTATGGTCCTCTGAATGCAGCAATGTCAGAAGATGGCGCGCAACCAGCCGCTCTCATTTTCTCGACACGCTCAGGTGCTTCTTAGTTCAGGCGTAGGAAACCCGATGCCCAGCAAGGTTGTTCGGGGGGCGGGGTCATGGTTATGCTCGTCGCACTTCACTTCGAGATACCATAAATCGTTCCGCTGAATTTCAACTGCTTTCCACTTGCAGTCGATCAAACGCTTCCCGCTTTCACATCGGCCATATTCTGGAACAAGGAAAAATTTACGCTTTTGGACTAATCCACTGGGGTCACAACCTAGATCCACACGCGGATGGGTGTGCGTCTTGTCCGATCGATTGATTGTGAACGCGACATCTGACTCCGACTCATATTTACTGACATGATTTATGAACGTGTCTCGATCCGCAAAGACGGTTGGGCGTTAAGTTGTCCATTCTGTTCTTTACACCGATAGTAGACCGTTTTAAGATCTACGTGGAGTTTGGATCATTCAGAACGTGTTGCACAGTATGCGAAGATGAGATAAAATTGTTGGGGTGGATCTGTACCTGTCGCACGTGATGACTCACCACGTGGACGATTTACAGGCGACGAATCTCTGCTGTTGAGGTGCGAGAGGCACTTTTCGCGGCTGCATGCATTCGTACAGCCACCCTTCTTTGCTGCTACAGTAGCAACTCGCTTGGTTTAGAAATCATGCGTTGGATTGGCAAATGAATGGGATTTAACCAACAAGTGCCCCCTATCCCAAAGTGATTCAACGGTGGTGATCCTGTGGGGTGGATGGGGGCAGGACAACTCCTTGTAGACACAATCTTATGGATAATTTGGTACAGAGCATTTTTTGGCAATCAGGGGGTGCCCTGATTATAAATAGTCGTTCAGGGCGGAAGTGGCAGTGATGTGGGTGTGTGGTCGTTTCGTGTGGTGTAGTGCGACTGAAATAGTTCAAGTAAAAGTTATGGTGCGATGTAAATAGTAAAAAGCGTGGTGTAAATAACAATTCCCTTCAAATACAGAAGATTGTCAGATTCACTTCCTTTTTTGGTTCATTCAATTCTTTTCTTTTCAAGAAGACACATGTAACAGCCAATCGCGACCGGTCAATTAGCGTGTGAAACTTTTCCATTTTCAGTATCCCATTTAACTTGGTACCATCTCGTTGGAGCTACAAGTCACGGTACAATAGTGTATCTAACGTTAAGATCGTACCTGGCACGATATCCTCTATATAGTCATCTCATTGTCTTCTTGCAGCACGAGCTCTGCATCCAATACAATATAGTAAAACATGAACGCAGCCACCGTGAAACTTGTCAAACCACGTCGAGAAACGACGCAGCGAAGACTGGTTGTTATGAGAGGGCAACCGCCACGGCAAGTCTCCAACTCGGCACACAAAAACTCTGGAAGAATGACTGTAGAGCATTTACGATGGAGGTGTGCGCCAGAGTCCTTTGCACATAAACAAGATTAGTAGCGATATCTACGGTCAGCTGCTGTTAAATGCTGATAAGTAGATAGAGAGCAAACTCCAGTTTCGCGCGATGTTCATCAAAACTTTCGTCCTTCCTTTTTTTCTTGTAGAATCTGTTTTAATGCTGTTAATTTCGATAATTGTACGTAATGTAATTTAATCATCTTCATCGGCGTACTCGCTGTCCTTGTCTTCTTCTTCTTCAATTTATCATCCTTTTCCGCTTCTGGCTACATTATTCTGTTGGTAGTCAAATACTTTCCACTCAATGCCATCACGTGACCTTCTTCACTATTCTAATATCCGCCGGAGTGTTTGGTCGATTAAATGCAAATTACGGTCTTAGGTCTGGTCCGTAGAGAAAGTGCTGAATAAATATATGATCACATGACCTTCGTCAGTTTCTCGCACTATGTACTCGCAAGTATAGGCTGAAAGTTCAGTTAGTGACTTCAGCCGTTTGACCGCCATATTGACCGAACTTGCACACTGCGGATTAAACCCTTTCAACGTGGCGATACCATCTAGTTGTGGAATTGGTAGTGTTTGAGGTATATTAATTCCTTTTCATGCACGTGTACGTAAAGTGTCGAGGCACCTGCTTGTAATGTGTTAGTGCAAGTTACCTAATCGCATCTCCACCGCACTACTTAACATTATCTGCAAATTGAAGTACTCCTTCAAGTGGACTACACGATTTAAGCACTCATCTCATCAATTTCTGCGCCGGGGTAGACCACTTCAAAAATTACAGCGCTGCTTAAATTTTTGCCACGCTTGCCGCCCGTAGTTAACGTACTGTGGTGAGTTTTAGGAAAGGTCTTATAATCGTCAAGGGATCAGACGTCCAAAGTTTAAAAGCGGAACCCCTTGCGAGGATCAGGTGTCGTTTTAGTGGCAACTAAATATGTGTAGGGTTTTATAGACATGTTTAAAGTCACTCCAAATTTGGAGTGAAAGCCTAGATGTGGAGTGCTCCTTAAAAACAACGATACTGTAAAGTGATGCGGTGGGGACAGAAATACTACAAAAACTCCGCTTCAAGATGCTATAGATGAAGTGACCCGGTAAAGGTGGTCTGAACCCCACTATCGGTCAGGGACAGGGGTCACGTCTCACTGGCGCTTCGCTAAGAATTAATGTGAGCTAGGTATGAATCGACTTAAAAATAGTAACCACTCAAGTCAGATTTGGCGAGTAGGCGCCCTATTTGTGGCGACTTCTTAGACGGCTGCCTGTATCCTTTTTTAGCTACCTGTTTAAGACGGATCAGCGTGACGATTACTGTGCTAAAAACTAAGGACTCCTACACCAATGTGACTATGCAACCCTTACCTGACTGTCGTACAGATATGCACATAAAAATATTACACATGAATTGCATTGAGCATATCCTTGATAGCTATATTCTACGACCGTCGTATTGCTAAATACGTCCACGTCTTCTAATTTATATGCGTGCGTTTCTCTTCTACTATAATTGATGTGACTAACAAATGATGAGTAGCTTACCAATTCCACACAAGTTATTACTTTTGACGAAATCTACGTCATTGTAAAGTATGCGCCAACTAGCTGTGCCAATGATGTCCTTGTATGGCTAGCTTACTGCATCAGTACTTTAGATATAACGTACCGCTCTTTTTCTCTTCTTTTTGGCTTAAAATATAAGATATGGGAACAAGCTCTGGAGCTCGCCATTTGATATAAGTAATTCAGTCCATAGAACTGAATCAAGTTCTGTACATCCACGTACCTCGCGCTTTGTCACTAAAAGCTTCATCCTTCGGCTCGTAGTAATGCGCACTTTCAATGTAGAGGGGATAAATGCCATTCAGCTGTCAGTATGACGTGTAAGGTACACCCATTTATTTGCAGACATTTGCAAAGAAGGCGAACGGCTACATCTCACCCAATAAGACGTGTAGGTACATCTAGCGTTACTTACGGAACAGTAGGTGACACACAAGATCGTACTTAGTGCAAAGTGTAAGGCACACCTGGCGTTATCTTTTGGGAACCCCAATGGTGAAGCTCAAGTGACTGCGCACAAGGTTGCATGCCGATCTCCTAAATACTATTTATCTGTGTGTGTCTTTGTGTCTACAAATAATGCATTTAGGTGTATCCTACACGTACAAATGCGATCTAGCCTCTCCCCTCATTGAGGTATAGGCATATCTAAAGTCACTCTTTGACTAGGCCACTATTGTGACACACGCACTTCATTGGTTTACACACGATCAATGGTAATGTGATCACTTAAGAAAATACTGGACGCTCGTAAGAAAAAGCTAAAACCTTTTCTTGAATAAACTGTATTGAATTAATACAGACATTAAAAGCATCATACTCCTTCTTCAGTGACTCCATTTGTACATTGTTTGCAACTTAGTTAAGATCTCCGAACTAAATTGCTTATATCAAAGGGCGAGCTCCAGAGGTTGCTCCCCCAATTTATACAAGGAGAGAGACGGACTCAATCGCATTTAATACAACATGCGAGGTACGTAATGTTATTTACAGACAGACACACTTGCACAGGTAAGTACGATAAGTTCGGCATTCATCTCGCGCACAGCCACAAATGGCTTCATCGTTCGTGATCGCAATAATTATAGGGTGTCGTAAATGCACCTTTTATAATTAGTAAATGAACGGCTTGTAAAATGAACACCTTCTTAAATTCCGCAATCGATCCCAACCTCATATTTGCAGCAGATGAGTCAAAATAAAGTGGACGAATTGTTCAAAAAATGTCTCTTTCTAGCTAGGGTGATCGAACGTCGGCTCAGATCTACTGTCAGGAGAGTAAAATTATTAATAAGGTCGCAGAGAGGATCACAGATTAATCTTGATTTTTTACTATCTGCATGCAAACCCCACCAGAACAGACCTACGCAGCCTAAGATAACTGTAACGGGGCACTGGTGACTTGTAATTACACAGTACAAGTCAACTTTACTGATACAGTGTAAGGTAGTGCCGCTCGTCACTCACGTACACTGTACGTGCAGTGAAAGGCTAGCTACTGAACGACGCGTTCAATAAAAGTAGATAATTTAGCTGTAATAAATGTTCTTAAGTCCTTATCGATATCGAATGTCGTTGTCCTAACTTAATTATATTCGTCAATAAAGGTATATTGAAGTCTTGCTCACACCATTGCGCGCGTCTATTATTTTTAAACAGCTACAGCTGGCTGATATGATGACCCATACCAGTTAATCGGAGAGTGTTTCTGAATATCACACCTTATGGTAATATTCACGACCATTATTAACATTGTGATATTATCATCATTAGCAATTACCAAGAGTCAATTACAAGAAGCAGGCTCACCCCGTCACATCACCCCCCTAAAAGGATAGTTACTTAATAAATATCATGTTTATGTGGCTACCGTTAGACCACAACAGGAATAGAAAGCACTTGTTTTGAAACGATCCATCCATTTCCGGATCTTCATTGCATGGTGAACAAACTCATGCGATGTGCGTCGAGAGCTGATGAACTAGCAGCTGCGCGTGCTGATAAATCTGCTCGTGACAGATCACAGCCTCGTGCGGCAGACGATGCTTCATCCGAAATTTCTTAAAATCTTTCTGTATAATTAGTTGCTGCAGATGCACGTAGTGAGACGCCACGTGCTAATGATAATGGCTCTCAATTGAAGACCGTCTACTCATGGGAATTTGATGTTGGTTCCGACTCGAGGATGACTCCTAGGTCACCTGGATGTCCGGAGGCGGCCGAGTACAACCGTTCAGATAGGACTCATTCAGGTGGTCGGACGCACGGTGTAACGGGGCTAGAATGACCCGTACTTAGCGTACACTATTTCTAACGCTTTGAGGAAGCTTAAAGCCCAAGTCTTAGGTATTAAGTATTTTTAACTCTGTTTATATTTTTGTCTTTTAAATCATCTTAAGTACGAATGGTTCCCTTGGACTCATGGGAACCACTCAATCTACGTGCCTATATCTTACTGGCTAATAATGGTACTGAGCCCATTAAACCAGCAAAAATATACGACGTGCTACTTTCGCTACTCCGAAAGTAACACCCCTACTTAAGTAACACGTAAACTTAATCGAACCTACTTGTGTAACGGGTGGCCCATTACATCACCCCCTTCTCAAGACAGCACTCACGAACCGTGAGTGCTCAACCACAAGACCCAACGACGCACAAGCCAAACGATGACTGAAGACGCAGACGCCAACACCACAGCACTCCCGCGCACAATCAGCGGGAGTTTAGTCGACCACGTGATGGATCGGCACCTGATCCCTTGGGCGCTGTATGAATTGTCCGGAGCTCGAGCTCCGGACTCTCTCGAAACGATGCAGGACTACTGCCGGAGTTTCCGTGGGTTGCGTGGAAAGAGTCTTGATGGCATCTCGTACGAGTCGCTCCAGCGGTCATGGTGTGCGTTCATCCGGCGGTGGAACCGGATGCTTGAAGACGGAAGAAACTTTCAGCAGTGGCTGGCCAATCGTGAAGATATCCACGCCGATCATTCCATCGGTGTACTGCGCGAGAATATCTGTGAAAACTCATGGAACGTAGATCGACTCTGCTACGTTCACGTGCACGAATCTTGTTATTCCTGTGACTCGATGCCTCGTCCAACTCGCGAAGCTTGGCAACGGACGATACAAGCGCAGCTTGATGGAGCGCAAGACTGCGGTTATTCGTGGCGCGTCACGCTGGCGACACCACTCGCGTTCTCGAGGTCGTGGTGCCATGCACTCGCCACGACGTTCTCGTTCGCGTGATCGTCGCGATACACGCTCGTCGCGACGTTCTCGTCGTCGCTCTTCATCTCGTCGTCGTGGTGAAACGTCACCACGACGTTCTCGCAATCGCTCTCGGTCTCGTAGTCGTGGTGACACTTCACCACGACACCGTCGTCGTGCATCTCGTTCTCGCTCACCGCGAGAACACACAGGTCGTCGACCAAGTCTGCACCAAGCGTGTGCAGGGACTCGTAAGCCCGAACGACGTCCGGAACGTCTCGAATAAGCGAAGAGCGCGGTTCCCACGTATCCTGCTCAGGTGGAAACCCGAGCCAACGTACACGATACTTGCGCGCGGTTGGAACCGCGCATTCATGATATAGCGACGATGTCGTTTCGCGACGAGGTCCTCGTGACCCAGTAAACGCTCCACAATCCAGCGCTTCTGGCCTTCCGCGTCCACAAGCGGTGGTGGACCCTCACGATGGTACTGCTGGCGTCCTGGTTGCCCAGGACGATGTAGATGCGGCTGTGAACAAGGCTGTTGATGCCCAGCTAGAGGCTGAAGCTGCCCTTGACCGAGCTGCGCGGGTTGAGAGAACAGCGAACGAGATTCGACAGTCGAACCGCGAGCTGCTTGAACGGATGCGGAACCTGGAATGCCAGGTTCTTGGGCACGCGCAGACTGGGACGCAGCCGCGTCCGATGTCGCTGGCGCGTCGAGCAAGGCGAGAGGGAAGGTCGACCTATGAGCCTTGACTCCGAGGACGGAGCCAACCCGTGAAGCGTAGCTGGACGGTACTCCTTGAGCCGCCCGACGTAAAACTTCGGGTGAAGTCGCAGTGACGAAGGGATGGCCAGCGTGTATGCGTCGCCGATCGCCTTGAGTACCATGAATGGTCCGATGAAACGTGGAGCGAGTTTGCTCGCGCCTAGATTGGTTACTGCTGAATCTCGTAGGCCTTCGGTAGTTAGCAATACACGATCACCCTTCTTGAATGTACTCGTGTTCTTTCTTCCACGTTTGTCTGCATTCGCTTTCTGTTTATCCACTGCAGATCGAAGAGTATCGCGTACAAACCTCGTGATGGCTTGACGTTGGAGTATAAACTCTGACACAGCCATGTCATCAATTGGTCGCGCCGATTCAATCGGCGCGTAGTTAGCTTTAGGGTTTCGCATACTCTAAGAAGGATCGATCAGCGTCTGTGCAGTCCATTTAGCGAGCGGGGACGCCACGTCACGTGACGTCGAAACAGAAGACTTGTTCTTGGAATGGTTGACAACATTCGCGCTCAGAATACCGTGAGCTTCACTCGATCGTTGTTTATCGTTATCACCCCCCCGCCAGAGTGGAGCCACGAAGAGCCGTGGGCTGACCCACGGCAAGAAGAGTAGGTACACGAGGATGACGGGCCGAATTTGCAAAAAATGGCGTCAATTCCGTTGACGCGTGAACCGCGTTGTTTAGTGCAAACTTGGCGAGTGGCAAAAACGCACTCCAACTTGTAAAGGACGGTTCGTAACTTCGAAGAACATCTTCGAGGACCCGATTCACTCGCTCTGTTTGCCCATCCGTTTCCGGATGGGCTGCTGTCGACATTTGCAGCTTTGTGCCAAGCAACTCGAACAATGACGTCCAAAAAGCAGATGTAAAACGAGGATCACGGTCCGAGACAATGTTGTCTGGTAGACCGTGATGGCGAAACACAGTGTCAATGAAGTGCACCGCGGTCTCAGCCGCGGTGATCGTTGCATGAACAGGCACCAGATGTGTCATCTTGCTGAATCTGTCGACAAAGACCAGAATACCCGTTCGGTCTTGGCCATCTGGTGCAAGCCCTAAGATAAAATCCATTGAGACTGAGCTCCAAGCCTCAGCTGCAATTGGCAGGGGTCGCAGGGATGCCTGCGACGATGGAGATGGCTTCACGCGCTGACATATTTCGCAGGTGCGAACCCAGTTGCGAACCCATTTGTACATGTGGGACCAGAAGAAGTCACGCGAGACAGCCGCGAATGTCTTTTCGCGGCCCAGATGACCGCCAATTGGGGCATCATGGTACTCGTGGATGAAACGAGCACGCAAATCCAAGTCATTCGCAATCACCGTTCGAGGTGCATCGAATTTGTCGATGCTATATAACAGCAAATCACCGTCCATACTGTATCGTTGAATGTGATCACGCTTCGTTCGCGAAAGAGTTCCCAGTGCAGCCTCACTGGGAGCGCGCAGATAGGCGATAATGTCCGCGTAATCCGGGTCGTTCGCGTAAGCCGCGACAATTTCATCGAAAAGGCATAACTCGGGTGTGACCCGAGTTAGATTCAACGACACACACGTCGCACATCGATCGTCTTCATCTTCGTCTTCAGTTGCCTGACGACTCAGTGCCATACGAGGATCGTAATCTGGGCGTCGTGACAGTGCGTCAGCAAGAATGTCGGTCTTGCCTGGCTTGTAGTGCACGACGAAGTTGTACTCAGAGAAGAAAGAGAGCCACCGTGCCATCCGCTGTGACAGGTGTGGGCTCTTCATTGCTGTTCGCAGCGATGCGTGATCAGTATACAGGGCGAACGTGCGTTCGCCCAGTAGGTGGACACGAAACTTGATGAGTGCATAGCGCATCGCTAGCAGTTCCTTATCGTGAACCGAAAAGTTCTTCTCTGCCGGCTTCATCTGGCGTGACTGGTAGCTCACGACTCGTTCACGGCCCTCATGATCGAACTGCATGAGGGCGCAACCAATTGCAAAGTCACTTGCATCACACACCACGTGAAACGGCTTGGTGTCGTCAGGGAGTATCAACACTGGCGCCGACGCCAGGCTCTTCTTCACTGCGTCAAAGGCTGCTTGATGTTCGGGACGCCACGACCACGTGGCGTCTTTCTTCAGAAGTGACGACAGGGGCTGTATAGAACCGGCGTAATCCTTTGTGTACTTATGCAAGTAATTAGCTAGACCGAGCCATTGACGTAACTCCGTAGGGCTCTTGGGTGTGGGCCAAGAACAGATTGACGACACCTTCTCTGGATCGGCTCGAACACCCGATTTACTCACGTAGCAGCCCAGCACCGGAATCTCCGGTGCACAGAATACACACTTCTTCAAGTTTGTATATAACTTGTTATCTCGCATGACTTGAAACACTGCTTCAGGTGTTGAAGGTGAACTTGGACAGCACTGAGGTTGCCCTCAGCGCGACTATGGACAAAAATTTCATCGAAGTAGCTAGGAGCAAAGTCTCGAAGCGGTCTCAACACTAAAGATACTATGCGAATTGAAAGTGGCTGGTGCGTTCTTCAATCCTTGTGGCATCACCAGCCACTCCCATAGCATACCACTCGGGGTGGACACCGCAGTGAGTGGTATGTCACTCTGTCGCATCAAGATCTGGTAGAAGCCATCGGTCAGATCGATGTCGCTGAAGATGACGCTACCTGACATGGAGTTTAGAACCATGTCTTTCCTGGGGATAGGCGTTTGGGCAGGAATAGTGGCATCGTTGAGCTTGTTGAACGCATGCACTATACGCCAGCCTCCGAAGCCTTCCTCACGCATAAGGTTGGGCTCGAATGGGGTGAGACACTCTCACGCACATGAACGGCCTTGCGACGACCTTCGAAGAATGCATCAATAGCCTCGACTTGGTCTCGAGGCAACGGCCACTGGCGTGTCACACAATATTTCGATTCTGGCACGAGATCAATCTCGTGCCGCACGCCACGATCGGCAGGGAGTTCGGCCGGAATCTTGTCCGGGAACACGTCGGCGTACTCTCGTGCAATGTCGTAAACAGGGTTACCAGACTCGCGCAGAGCCTCCCAAGATTGCGACGCAAATCTTTCTTCGCGCGCTGACTTTTGCTCAGCGCTTCGAGGGCGCGTCATTCGGCTCATAGGTCACCTCGTTGGTGACCAGACATACTTGTTCCACCGTTCCTTCCTTGAGGTCACGTAGAAAATGCTTCCAGGAGAGTCCTGGAAGGCTCGTAATCGACGACGCGTCGCGAGGTGGACTCGCGACCTCAATGTATTGGCGTCTTTGTGGACTTCCGTCCACGTACACAATAGCGTGGACACATTCCAACGCTGAGTTATCGTAGCTTGCGTCCCCATCGTGCTTCGAGTCCATGCTCGAAGCTGGCGAACCGCAGTCAGGTGTTAAATCTGCACCCCCCTCTAGACGCTGGATGTCCTCATCCAGGACGTCGAAATCGCGTGACGGGAAAAGTCCATACTCGTCCGTCGACGCATGATGCGGGAGCCCCTGCTCTACCGCTACAAACTCGTGTGGGAGCCCCTGCTCGACCACGTCTTGCTCATGTGGGAAACTCTGTTGGACCACAGTAGGCGACGATGGGAACCCCTGTTCGACCATCATGTTCGCACGTGGGGACTCTTGTCCATCCACGTCACACTCGGTGGCAAGCCCCTGCTCGGCCACATCTTGCCCTTGTGGGAGCCTCTGCTCGACCACAATGGGTGCAGGTGGGGACACTTGTTCGTGTTCGACCACTGCTCTCTCGTGCGGGAACCGCTGTTCGACCGCGTCGTCGTCGCGCGGGAGCCACTGCTCGTCCGCGTCGTCGTTACGCGGGAGCCACTGCTCGTCCACGTCGGACTCCTCGCTGCAAAGTGAGGAGACATCATCACTCGTGCGTAGGGGCACGGAACAAGCGGTACAGAGAGGGCCATCGCTCACTCTGTGTACCGCCGGTGTCGTGGATGTACGATCCACGACTGTAACGTTCGGCCAATCACTTGGAGACACCAAGAGATGGGTGAACACTTCGCTGACGTCGAACTTGCTTCGACGTCTCACTGATTTGGCTAACCAGTCGATCTGGGGCTTATAGCGTGCCAACCATGGCATGCCCAGGATGCAATCGAATGAATAATTCATTTTAATCACCAAGAAATTGTCGTTACTGCGAAAGCTGTCCAACGTGTACGGCAACGACACTTCGCGCCGAGATACGCGGCGTGGTTTCCCGTCAGCGAGCTTGACAACAACTTGGCCAGGTCCCTCGTGGATCTGGATGCTGGGTGGCAGCATTGGCACGCAAGATTCACGGAAGAAATTGTTTGTCGCTCCTGAATCCAGGAGCGCTCGTAGAGGTCGCCGGATACCGGCGACATGTAGATTAACAATAATCAGGCGTGAATCACTACTCGTAGTGGTGGCATTTGACCGTGCACGCAGCACAGATGGGCTGGGAGGTCGGGCTGCCACCGGTGGACCCGGACCTCCCTTCAAACCAGTAGGGCGCCCCGCACCTACTGGTCTCGTCCATTTTTTGGACGACTGATCGGAGCACCTCCCTCATGATAAGTGTCCGTCGCATGCACCGACATCGGTGCTGGCGCGCGGCATTCAGCCGCGCGATGTCCCGGCTTTCGGCATCGAAAGCAGATCATCTGACGTCCGCCTCGGACGTCGCCCTTGTAGGCTGTAGCGCGTCGTCGGTCACCCGACGATTCAATTGCATCGATCTCCATAGGTTCCGGGCCCGCTGATCTGACAGCGGTAACAACTGAAGGCTTGGTATAGGCCTTGGTGACTCTGAAGTCCTCACGGAGAGCGATAGCGAAAGCCTCCTCCAACGTGGCAGGCTCTGCTCGTTCCAGCGAGAGGCGAGTCTGCCCTTCACGCATGCCATCGACAAACACGTTCACTTGTGTATACATGTCCATGGGATGCGTGATAATGCAAGACGCCAGATGTCGAGCCATCTACACGTAGTCGCGCATGGACATCTTACCCTGTCGCAGGGACAGGAACCTTGAACGCATTAACTTCTCTTCCTGGGGCGGCTCGAAGGCGAGTCGAAGGTCACTCTGGATGGCTTCCAGAGTGGGGAACGCAAACTCGTCAACAACGAGTTTTCCCAAGGCCCACCCCTTGGCTTTCCCAGTGAGACGGGAAAGAAGGAAATTGACCTTCGCTTAAGGAGCCTCGAGAAGTCTCGAGGCGATAGCGATGTCGACCTCTCGAAACCAACGAGACAACGACAAGCGTTCTTTTCCTTCGCCAGAATAGGCGGAGGTCTCCATCTTCACGGCATCGTTCCGTGAAGTCCGCGAGGGAGTTAAATCTCGCCAATGGTATTCGGCGAGCTCGCGAGCCATGTAGTCGTGTATGGCGAGACGCTGTCCATCAGGAGTCGCTGATCTCATCAGCGACACAGCGAATGCCTCTCCAGATATCGCCGCGAGGCGATTTAGGGCATCCCACTCAACACCAGTGAGATGGGGAAAAGTCGCGTGCTCCAGACGTGAGTCTGGAGCGTCAAAGTACGACGAATCGCTCATCCCAAACTCGGGCATGGGAAGGACTACTAAGTGCTACCAGGTGTAACGGGGCTAGAATGACCCGTACTTAGCGTACACTATTTCTAACGCTTTGAGGAAGCTTAAAGCCCAAGTCTTAGGTATTAAGTATTTTTAACTCTGTTTATATTTTTGTCTTTTAAATCATCTTAAGTACGAATGGTTCCCTTGGACTCATGGGAACCACTCAATCTACGTGCCTATATCTTACTGGCTAATAATGGTACTGAGCCCATTAAACCAGCAAAAATATACGACGTGCTACTTTCGCTACTCCGAAAGTAACACCCCTACTTAAGTAACACGTAAACTTAATCAAACATACTTATGTAACGGGGTGGCCCATTACACACGGTCACTACCAGAGTCTGTTTAGTTCGAAAAACGAGGACGCTGGTTCATCCCCTGTTCCTTCTGCTGCAGGTTCGTCGTTCGGCAAGCGTGACGATGGCTTGCGTCATCTTGATAGCACCGCAAGTATTACCTAGACGTTGGTACCATGCAGAAGGACATAGAAGGAAATGTGTTGCGTATAGATCCTATGCGCAAGCATTGGGTGTTACCGGATAGACTTTTTGAATGAGCTTTCTGAAGAGACAAGTACTCATCGTTTAATTCCTTTATTCGACGCGAAGCTGCTGCATGGCCTCGACATCATAACGAGTAGCTTTCGCGCCGAAGAAGATTTTCATTATAATGCTACATAGAAGCATCGGTGGTACAGCTGCAACACCAAGAGAGAAAATGCTTCTTGTTGCAATCGTAAGACGGTTTTTGATTGATGGACAACTAATTGGGAGCGAAGCTAGACGCGACTTGCGTTAGGTTTAAGAAACGAGCCTTGACTAATACAAAAGCCAAGTTAGATCGTTCGACTCGTGAGGCAGTAATTCTATGCCTCACGTGAGACGACTCGTGCCCGTATTAATTCGACAAAACGCAGCGCATCCAAAGGCAGATTTACTCCCTTTCTTCACCATGGGGAAGGGCACACATCTCAGCTGAGATGCACAATTTGATTGCTATTGTGCAATCAGTGTCACCGCCACAGGCGCTTGTTTTCCGACAGCTCAGATGAGCTGTTGGGTAAGTCTGTTCTTACTGTTGGAAGAGGTTATCAGCTTCTTTCAGATGGGTACGAGGCGCTCAAATATCGTGAGGAGAAGGGTAGCCGCATTAGCGGACAAGGTAACCCGTGCGCTTCCCCTTCAGGTAAAGTTATTTTAAGATACGCCCCACTTAAAAGCGTTGACCACCGTGCGAGTCTACCAATGGCTGTGCTAAAAGCGGAAATATCAGCTCCAAATCGTTTATTGGACTTGCAGTCGAAGAGTGCTCATATCGAGCGGCTCCTCCAAAATCTGTTTTATCTCTTCAAGTAAAAGAAGCAGGAGGGTTTCTCTTTAGAGTCGTCAGTACAGCGCTACTGTCTTCTCTGATCCGACGACCAATCAGACTTTGCGCTCTTTCAATTGTAGAACGAGCGTGGGCGTCAGACCATTTGTAACATAGTGGCTGAGATTCGCCGCCATAACACGACGTTTAAACCTAACTTGAAAAGCTATCTCGGGACCAAAAGAATGTCTTAAATGTTATTGATCGTGGCGGCTGTATCAGCCACTAGGGGAGACCTCGTGCTGATAATACGGGTATAGAGGACAAACATAAAACGTAGGATGCGTACGAATCCTGCGAGGCAACGCTATTGTGTACGCATTGCCTTTGCGATATAGTACACGAAACGAGCCAATGTACTTGGGTAGTGGTTTACTACTACCCACATCAGTTTCCACGTGCTAAGGTAGATTATACGTATGTGGTAGAACCAAAGATCCGACCTTGTACAGAAGATCGTTTGCTCTTCCATTCTTATCAGCATTCCGTTTCTGCCGATCCACCAAGTTAGCGATAGAGTCCTGTACATCACGGACCACTGCTTCTCGCGTTAGCATAATCTTCTTTTTTTTAACTCACTCTAATTTGTTAAAGTGTGCCTTGTGCGCAATGCTATGAGGTCAATATATTCTTTAGCGAGGTAATTTTCATCCTCGCTGGTGTATTCATTGGTGAGGCCGAGTATACCAGCATCGTCATCCTCATCTGAGTAAGCTATAGTGTCATCACCATTGCAAAAGTCATTGTCTACGATGTCGACTTAATCAACATCGACAACGTTGGTGTCTTCGAGTACCTCTACTCGTGACGAGCAAGATCCTGAACAAAAAAATTGTGGGGTGAAGTCCTACCCTCTTGAACCAGAGTCACAATATAAGTGGGCGGGTAGGCTCGAATGGAGCAAGCCACTTACGAAAAGTGGTGTATGCGTTGTGGTCGCATGCAGTAAGTTGTGGATGGCCCTCTACCATTTTCAAGAACTCGCATCGATATGTGACGTTACCAATTGCAACAGCTTCGAACAGTTTGTGAAAGATTGGACGTACCCTTAAAGTATCTCTTCGAGGACGCGGCTAAGGCATTGCTTCCGATAAGTAGATGCTGGCATGGTCATACCTGTACCGAGTAATTGGATCATAGAATGCCAAAATGCTGCTGTAGATCGTAGATCTCGGTCAGGTACTTATTCCCGGTATTGAGTGTGGAGTCTAAAGAATGTGTCAATATAGACACGGGCGCAGCCCTGTGCTGTGACCGAATCTTGAACGGCAGCAAGATGTACCATCCTCATGAATACATGAACGAACACAAGGAAACCATTATTTTTGTGTGCATCTTCGGTTAGCCCAAAGAAAGGTACATGTTAACGGACTGCCAGAACTATGCCGGAATTGATAGAGGCTGTAGTGGCGCATGGTATGAATGACGAGGCTTCTCCCATTGGCAAACTTCGCAAGTACAGTCGTGCTTGCGTCCGAACTGATGCTGGTGGGGCCGGTAAATATCTCGACCTTTCGTGAAGTAAGTCTGTTCCCTCCCACATTGTCCATCTTTTGGCTCATTTTTTCTTCCTCAAAATCGCGCAGCCGCAAATTGACATAAGTTAAATTGTCGACACTAGGAGTGTCGCCGCCTACGGCTGCGTAATACGACAATCCGTTACGTGTTGTGTATCGACCCGCGAAAGATTGATAAGAGGCTTTCAAATCTTTGAGAGATTTGAAAGAGGGGCTTTCTATATGACCCCTTAGTCGTAGAAAAGCATTGTCTTGTGCGTTGGCCCTTTTAATATTGTCATCTTGTGTTGACGACGGAACACTAGATACTGCTGTTGCAACAATTAGCATATCCTTTCTATTGGACTATGCAGCCGACTCAGAATTTAGTCGGCGCGATAAAGCATCAGCAACGACGTTAAGCTGTCCTGGCTTGTAGTCTACGGATATGTCGTGCTCCGCAAAAAAGGCAGTTACATCTCCATCTTTTGGGACGAAACGATGCTTTTACGGCCGTGAGTAATGAGGCGTGGTCGGCATAGACTACAGATGGTCTATCTCCTAATATTTAGACGTGAAGCTTAGCTATTGCATACTTCATGGCAGGGAGATCCATGTCATGCACTGTGCAATCATGCTCAGCTGCCTGCAGCTGACGTGATTGATAGCAGACGAAAGCTCTGTTTTGTCTGCATAATACTGCATTACCACACAGATAATCGCAAAATCGCTGACGTCACATGCTACGTGGAGTAATCTAATCTTATCTATAATTTACACGATGAGCGATTGCATCAAGCTTTGCTTAATTCTATCAAGAAACACTAAAAATCAACTTCCCATGATCATTTCTCATTCTTTGTCAAAAGACGAGAGAGATGAACGATTATATCTCGACGTAGTTGCGCGACCATTGTGCAAGTGCGCCGCTAGCCAAAGGAAATTCGAAAGTCCCTTGTCATCAACTGGCACAGGCCAGCCGGTAATTGCCGTAATATTTTCTAGTTCAAGGCATACGCTGTGTTTATCCACGATGCACCCAAAAAGAGGTATTTTGCTCGCAGCAAATATGCCATTCTTTATGTTAGTGTGCAACTTGTGCGTGCGCATAAGTGTAAGAACCTGACGAACGCGTGTTTTATAAATTTCCTTGTCCAAATTTTTGCTTATAGCTCGGCTACGGCGAATACATCGTTGAAGTATCTCGATTAGAAATCTTGCACCGGTCCCAACACATTTTTAACACGTCTGTTGAATGTGGCAGGGGCGTTTCTCATCCCTTGTAAGATGACTAGTCGCTCACAGAGCATACCACCGGGGTGCTCAATGCTGTGAGCGCGGTTCTTTGCTCACGATAAAAGATCTAATAGAAGCCATCCATCAGATCCTTGGATGAAAAGATGTTACTCTTTGCATACTATATATGATATTGTCCTTCCTCGAGATTGGCTTCCGATCCGGTATCATTGCAGCATTCAACACTGGACACGCATGCATGATCTGACATTCATATGTGGCCCTACGCACACAGAAGGCCGGAACGCTATGTGGGGAGCTAGACTCTCTTGCATGGCCCGCAGCTAAGCAACCGACAAAGATTTTGTCGATTGTAAGTATTTTTGTGAGGCAGTAGCCATATCTTCATGACAAGCACTCTAATCCCGGTTTGGGCTTAATTTCACATATACTTTTTTATAATTATGTGCCTTTATCCTTAGTCAAGTCGCATTTCATGGATTCAGGGACACATATTTCAATTCGATCGAATCCTTTTACAAAGCATTTGCCTGAAGAGACCTCCAATATTAACACGTGTATCGTTAATCCGAGTATAATCATCGAGGATACTTCCTTTCATTGATGAGTTGATAAAACCCTTCTTTCTCAAAAAATTCTACTGCTGACTGGATGTCGTTCACGGACGCTACCTCTGCGATGAGTACGTATATTTGCTTGACTTTACCGCTATGCAGATCCCACAAGAACCAATCACTAAGTTTAATTTCTGAAGCCAACCTACAACGCTCGGCCAGATCAATTGTATAAGCGCCTACACTTGACCCACCATTCACCAAGGAATTCAATGTCTCGATTTTTCTTGGGAACCTATTGCGCTGGCTTTGGGGACTCATCTTCTCTGGAGGGTGGGGTCTCATTACCTTAGCAACCTTTTTGAGTGGTCTTCCCTTAAGTACGTTAAGAATCATTCCCTCGACATATTCTAGCTGTGGTTGCTCTACCACAGCCAGATCTTCTACAATCGACTTTCAAGTCGATTTAGGATCATCGTGCTGCTGTGTGTGTATCTGATATACTAGTCCCTAAATATTGTTCTCCAGGCGTAAATTTATGTCCCAGTCCACTTGACTGATTCAAGTAGTGGAATTTCGGCGCTGCCTGTGCATCCGCACAGCCGCCTGCTGCTTCCTCCAAATTGTGGTTGGTATTCACACTGTGATCTTGTTAAGTCGTTTTAATTACCACACCACAAGTGAGATCATGGCATTCACTCGTAGTACATCCACAAACTTGTGAGCGCTCAGAGCTGTTCATCAGATGGCCATCTGATGAACAAATGGCAGGCATCTTCACGGTTCGATGCTGCTAGCTGGCCTTGGCTCGTACTTCTGAGTCAGGGTAACCCTGGGATGACATCGAGTTTTTCATTTAGATCCTGTAAAAAATCATCATCATACAAAAAATTTCAAATTGCAGTGAAGTCCCACAACACATATTTCACTGTTATCGATGCGCCTGGTGCAAGGCAACCGCCATCCTTGCAGATTGACAAAAGGAATAAATTGCTCAGCCCAATATAGCCTACGATCTTTTGGCGACTGGCGCCCAAAACAATTTTTCGATACACCACAGTCAACTAGGGCACGAAGTAACAAATCTTGTCACTTCCAAGCACAGGGTGGTAAGAGATACCTCGTCACTAGATGCAGAGACGCAAGTTAAGTGAGTCTGGAGCAACTTTTATTTAGATGTTTGCAAATTCTTGTAAGGGTATCGGATCATCAGGGCGCTCCGCCTCTACTAAATTTGACCGTTTAAAATGTCCACTTCGTTGTTGCAATTGTCGTGTTAATCTGCAATACCTTGCATGGAAACCGTAATCAACGCGTGTTCAAGGACCGGTTTGGCCGTTATAAAACTCGCAAGTAGTCGTGTGTGTCAGGCATAAGCGTGCACATCACGCTTACCCTGCTTAAGTTTTAGGAGCTCTGATTGAACCTTAAACTCAGACCGAGGCGGTTTAAAATTTATTATGAGCCGGGTCATGAAGACCCCGTACGACCCCAATATATTTGGGTCGTGCAAATTAATTCTAGTGCCCAAGTTTTGGCATATCCTACCAAGTCCAACTCAGCAAATGCGATGCACTTGCTCATCAAAGATGTGACAATTCCTTTTGGCGTCGTTTAACTCGACGGACCATCGAAACAAGGAGTCTTCCTCGACTCTTATGTATGCACTTAAACATCAACTTTCGAGGATTCGCGTCGATGCGCGTACATCATCCCGGTATTAGCAGTCTGTGCCTGCTGTCATCTTAACAAATCTGTCTGTTGAGAACCTTGCTGGTGAAGCAATGTTAATTTCTCTCTTGACGCGTCAAGTTCATGTTTTATGGACTTGACGAAGGCTGCATACTGCTCATCTCTGTCCAGTGCGGACAGTATGTTACAGACGAAATGTTAGCCAACAATCAAAACCATTCGTTTGATCGCACTCCATTCGATGCTACTCGAATAGGAGTAGCTTTCACGCATGGTGTAAAAGCTGCCACCATTATCATCTAACATGTTCATGTTAGATGTAGGGGTTGCGGTCCTTGGACAAGTTACAAAGTGCTACCAGGTGCAATGGGGTACCAGTAATTTGTACTGGTTCGGTACAAGTCAACTTAAACTGACGTAGTGTGAGCAGTGCCGCACGTTCCTTCACGTACACTGTACATGCAGATGAAGACTAATTATCAAACACTTGTCTGGAAGAGGTAGAAAGTAAAAATGCATTGAATACAATTAAGTTCTAATCAATAACCTGTGTTTGGTCCTGAAGTAATTATTATAATCTGTAGAAGGTATGTTATAAGTCTTTCTCACCACTCATTGCGCGCGTTCATCATTCATTGGACCGCTCGAGTTGACTGATGTGATGGCTTATATCAGCCAATAGGTGAGTGCCTCTGAATGTAACTCCTTATGGTAATATTCATGAGCTTAACAGCTCTTAGAAAAATATTCTAATTTACTCAAAGCAAAATATAATTATTTTGTAGCAGGCTCACCCCATTACAGTCATCAATTAAATGTAGTTATTGACCGTGTCGCTTCGGGATGACACGAAATGATAGGTGACCAAGTTTTTATGACCTCGTATATTATTAGTAGGCTGTCATTACTTGTTTGATCGCAGAGCTTGTACTTAATGTACACCCTAATCTTCACTTTTCGCTAATAACATAACTGCTTTTTTCTGTCTCGAAACCGACTAACACTGTTCTGACAACTGGCCACAGCTAGCCCTTATAACGGTGGATATCGTAGGTGTACGAAAGACTTAGAGGTGCCAGAAAGCTCAGTCTTTGTAAATGAATAGGGAAAGTTATAACGTACCGATCGCGAAAGGGTCATTGTACCGGCCATGTGGTTTAGTCAATCAAAAACGGACCTTGGAATTAGAATTGAGTACACACAATCCAATTCTGATGATACCATCCTAAATTGGATGTACCTACACTTACTCTAACTATTTAGGTCGCATGTGCTGTAAGGCGCTTGCCGGCAGGCAATAAGCTACAACGTGAAAGGAAAGAGAGAGAGTGAGAGACAAGAATCAAACATCCGGCGATATTGCCGATGTACAGTGGATATTTTGATGCAGTAATCTTGATAGTAAGGCATACTGCGCTTGTGTCTTGCGTACATGTTCATACTACGTAACTACCATGTTTCTATATTGCAGGAATGATCACATTAGCATCACGGTAAGACGTGTTCCCGGGGGCAACACTGAGAGACCTGTTCATGAAATACTTGCAACACGGTTAAGTTTGCTACGGTTTCGCAATGACCCGGCTAACAGCTACGTCGTCCGCAAAAATGTCACTTACTTGACGACGACAACAACGACGCCGATACCATGAGTCCAGCCTCACGGCAACCAGCGTCAAGGAATGACGTGTAAAAAGTCATCACTAGACGGTTATTAGATGGCAGTAGAATATCACAGACGTCCTCCTGAAAAGAAAAGCAGACCGACACACTTGAGTGTTATATAACATGTATATGTACGCCTCAAAAAAATGCAGCGTGCTCCGCAAGTATAGAGCCACATCAATGGAGCCAAAATATGCAGTTTATTCATTCGTGTTCTTCATCGCCACTCTCCGCGTCTTATTAATTACCTCGGCTTTCATACCTCATTCTGAATAAAATTCGAAGCGGGGTAGGTACACCAAGATTAGGATGGTATCGTCAGAATCAGGTTGGGTACAACAGATAGAGATCAGAAGTCCTATTTTTGATTAGCCAAAACAAATGGCCGATACAATGACCCACTCGCGACCGGTAACATCTGACCTTTTCCAAATGACTATCCCGTCCAGCAATACGTTAACGTTATCCTTTTTGTGATCCTGGGTGTCCGAAGCAGTCATCTCACTGCCAAACTTTCAACTATCGACACGTACTGGCTATAAAGGATGATGTGACGTGCATTTATAGTCCACACCTAGCTCTGAACGGCATAGCACGTACATCGATGTATACGAAATGAAGATTCTACAAATTCGATGCACATCGTCAGACCCCGTAGGCAGCAAGTATGTCTTCCTGGGTTTACTAGCTAGTAGTCATTAGACCTTGACGCCGTAGACAACCGCTAGCTTAAAGACCTTTGACCTCATTCAACTTCTCATTTTCCACTTCTGTATCGTGCGTGCCACTTGCTCCGTCAGCGTGTTGTCTTCGCCCCGTACTGGCCACAAGTAGCATCTGCACCGATGGCAAAGGCTTCCGTCTCCTCGTATTTTCCTTCGTCGTGTCAGCTGTCAATGGTGCTCTGTCATCACCAGCGGCCGAAAAGCTGACGGAGCAGACAATGCCGATCTTGGACCCAGTCACTTAGCCTGAAGTGGACAGCAACCAGAAGACTGAAGGAACCGTCATCTCTAAAGAATCGGCTGGTGAAGAAAGGGCCCCGTAGGAGATCGTGGAAAAGGCTTCAGACCTCGTCGCAAAACACGTCAGTGCGGTCACGAACTGGATAAAGAGAAGTGAGGATATGATCATGATGAGATCGACGGAGACGATGAAGCGGCTCAAGAACAAGTGGAAGGAAATGGCAGAGGCGCGCAACGTTAAGAGCAGTGCAAACCGCGTTGAAGGTGCGGAGATGGTCCGAAAAGAGAGGAAAGATCCGAGAAAAGCGAAGCGGCGTATCACGTCTGACGAGTCGGACACCACAAGGGGCATAAGAGCACAACGTGCATACCTCTGTGACACATGTTCATGACGATTCTCTTGCAGCTTTACCATCAATCTCAATATTTCGCGGTGGATTGCCGATCGTGTCCGCGGTAAGCGTCATCGTTTCGGCTACCCCACCCTCCAGGTTAGTGCGCAGTGCAAGCGGACGCCATCCTTCCAAGGACGTAGCAAAGATGTCGGTATATAAAAGGTGACCGCCATGCAAACATCGGAAGTCGCTAGGTAAACTTAGATGACATCACTATACCTCACTGGAAAACGAAACGAAACGATCTGCCACACGTTCCTCTCGCACGTATGAAATCTAAAACACACAATCACCTCGCCCATTAGCGCTGGCTGCGTTTATAATCAGCACGAACCATGGAGCATATTGATGCAGACCGCATAACTTTGGGATCGCTGGACGTGCTAGCCAGTGCGAAGGCTGCAGTACCGGGAGGTATCGGTAGGTATCGTATTTCTTATCGTACTGATGACGCGCTACAGTTGGGATGCTTGGGTGTGTGTCAATACTACACTTAGCAATACATACAAGCAAGAAAAAACTCACATCTGTAAGACTGTGGTCGTACAGACATTTCAGCGAGCACCGTAAAGTTTGTCAAAAAATACACTGGGTCGGGGACACGTGACCAAACTGCGGTAGAAATGCGACATCCTTTACGTTGCACTGTCGCGGGAGTCAGGTCAAGATGGAAAGACAGACGTCCACTTAAGTAATGGCACAACATTCTTCGTAGGATGAACATTCTGGTGAATCCAGCCGACTACGTACGTTATCGCGAGCACATAACGAGTGTTGCCTGATAAAATTTAGCTGCAGCGAGTAAACGCATGTAGCCCTTGAGAGGTACCGAGTCGTTAGGAACATATAAATCCCTCGCTGACATTCTCAAGAATACGCAAAAACACGCTATTCACGGGGGTTCCACCGCGTGCATGAATGTTTACTCAACTTGTGGAAGACATGTTGTAGTTTTCTGTATGCAAGTGACTTCTTGTCATCTGCAGCGAATGCTTTCATTGCGACCAAGACGAAAAATCTCGTAGATTATGGTACAGACATACCGGCACGGGATATTCATGGCGTCGGTGCCTGATGTATTAATGTATAATGGCACCAACGAGAGCTGCCGCCGAACCTTGAATGAATACAACAGGATTCAAATTCCTCTAGCCCATACATTCAGGCTACTGCATCTTATTTAGAGACCAGACCGACAGTTCAATGCCAATGATGCCTGCAAACCTGCAACTCTGCACACGACAACAAAAATGCCGCTGCCTGAGATATGGGAGTGCAACTACCTAGGAGTACAAGAGTTTCCTGCAGCTTCTGATCCTGACGTTTGCCGTGCACCAGGTAGACCAAACAACTTCGTCAGTATACATGTAAGGGTCGAAGGTTCAATGCAAAATGTACATGACCGAAAACTGCCTGAACGTACGATCTAACGTGCCGCACATGATACTGCTGCGTCGGTCACAGACGGGAGGTGGTGACCATTTGGTGGTAACTCTCGCTCGTAAGCAGCTCGTAGTTGTCCTTGTCTCGATTGAGGACCCAGAGACGGTCGGAAACTTTGGATGGGTTCATACCCTCCTTGCGCAGCTTCGCCTTTTCTTGCTTCATTGTTCCGGTGACAGACATGGTCAGTAGCTTGCGAAGAAATAGCGGCATGGCGTAAGATGGCAGTCGCTGCTTGACAAATTGCGCAAATGCTCGGAAGTCAAATAATTCTTCATCGAAAACCATGGCGGCCGTGCACGCACGTCCATCTCGACCGGGGACCTCAACCCCGTAAACGCAAATCTCACTGAGCCCAGGGAACTTGGAGACAGCCTCTTGAACTTCGTTTGTGGCGACGTTTTCTCCCTTCCACCGGAATGTATCGCCCACCCGGTCCACAAAGTGCCAGCAGTGCCTCTCGTCTTCTCTGAACAGGTCGCCCGTCCGAAAGTACATGTCACCCTTCTTAAATACATCCGTAAGCACCTTCTTGCTGGACTCACGCTTGTTTCGATAGTACCCTTGGAATCCTCGCACAAGGTCGGTCTGGTCCACCTTCACAATGAGCTCACCCGTTTCATTCGTTGCGCATCGCTGAAGAAACCCGCTTTTCGTCCGCACGTAGTCGTCCTTTTCAACAGCATACTTGACAATTGCCACGCCAGTCAACGCGTTGATAACGAAGCCACGACGGCCAAGATGTCCCTGGTCGGCCTTCGACGTACAAGCATTTAACATACTCATTGGTCCCTCCGTCGAGCCATAAAACTCATACACGGACGGAATACCAAACCGGTCTTGGAATGGCGCCCACACGTCAGGGCGCAATCCGTCCCCAAAAGCTGCACGAACGTGGTTCTCCTTGTCATTCGCTTTTACTGGTTCATTAACCAGGTAACGACACATCTCGCCGATGTATTGAATGACCGTGCAGTCATATGCCCGAACTTCATCCCAAAACTTGCTGGTCGAGAACCGACGCGAGATACACAGCGTGGCACCGGTACAAATCATCATCCCTACAGCCAAGTTGCCCCCGGACGTGTGATACAGCGGCAGCGCACAATACAGTCTGTCGTTCATGGACAAATCCATGGAGCACTTGATGGCCAGCGAGCGCAGAATGATGCTAAAATGGTTCACTCGGGCAGCCTTCGGCAGTCCTGTCGTCCCGCTCGTGTAGATCAGTAGCGCCGTGTCTGACGTCGACATCTTCGCATGTTTGCGAATCGACTGCGGTGGCTGCTCGGTCTTCATCGTCCTTAGTTCCGCATCCAGCGACTTAGCTCGAGGCAGGAATGCAGTTGCAGCTTCGGCGGTCAATTCACCTGCAACAAAGCGTCAAAGCAATTGCACAAACACCACATACACAACACGACAGCAGCATGAGTACAACTACCAAAGCCCCTCAACCATCGAGCTACAGCATTGCTCCACCATTGCCGTAGATATAATAGGCAACGTGAGGCAAGTGTTCCTCCACGTGTCTGAGGTTAGCAGCGAGTTCTTCTCCAACAATCATCCACTTGGCGTCTGCGATCGTCGCACAATGAACGAGTCCATTGGGCGGCAAGTTCGTGTTCAAAAGGGCCGTGACGACGCCAATCTTGGCCAACCCGAGCCATACGAGGACATACTCGAGGCGGTTTTCCATGAGCAACGCCACGGTCTGTCCCACCTGCAAGCCGTGGTGCAGTCCCCAGTGAGCAACGCGGTTCACCACTTCGTCAGCTTGTTGGAAGCTCAGCACCCGCGAGCCGAGTTGTAGACAGCTTTTGTGCGGCCACTTGGCCACGCTTTGCTCGAAAAGATCCGGGACGAGCGTGCCATTGCGGGCGTATCGCTTGGCCTGCAGCAAGGCAACGGCCTGGATGCCTGCTTGGCACAAGTCGGACGACAGGAGCAGTTTCTGGTCGACGTAGTAGCCGAGAGCAGCGGCACTTGCGACCGCGAGAAACTTGGACGGGACAAGAGCTGACAATGACGTGGAAGGTGCGTCCAACTTAATGGGGAGACGACTGCACAGGGCACTAGAGACGCGCGTCCAGGCATTGGTGACCGATGGCAAGAGCGACAACCCGTCGCGAAGAGGTGGATCAGAACCCATGGGGTTGTCAACTTCTGAACTTGACACTGGAATTGTCGAAATGGATTGAGATCGAGAAGAGGTTGACACGTGTGGCGACGGGGAGAGGCGGGTGGAAGGGGAACGGCGGCAACTCCAGTCGCTGTCGCACGTTCAAGTTCGTGGCACCGATTTCAGGTTGGGGTTGGTGGCAATCTCTTCGAGTTGACACTTGATGGGACGCGTTTAGCATCTCCAAGTGGAAGGCCGGAGGTCACAGACTGGAATTGTGAGAGGGTCGCAACCCCCATCGCCATGTGGGGAATCCAATTGTGAGGAATTTTCAGCCATTCAAACCCCAAGCAACGATAAAGACACGACTCGGGCACGAATCAGGGCTTCTTCTAGTAGTGAGATTACCACCACCGCTGTTGTACGTTGATATGAAGGCTGTATACGCCTATCCCGCATGCTGCAGAGGAGTCGACACAGTAAGCAGCATCTGATCGCCATCAAATCTTTGATACAATTCAATCCAGGTGTAGGCGTTGTCAATGCTGACTCGTGAGCAATGATTTGGTTTGTATTGCAGGAATTGCGAAGTAGATGCCGTATGTTGTGAAAGATCCTTGTACGGTGCTCTCAATGGTCACGTGAGGTGGCAGCTTTGTTCTCCCACCAAAGAATCGAGAAAGTAGCTCCAAGTGCCGGCAACCACCATCGGCTCGTTTATTGCCTCGCCCTTTTCCCTGCTCACGTTGCTCGGCAGCTTCGTACGATCTTCCGCAGGACGAGCTGCCTCATCTTGTTGATCTTCATCTCGGCGAGTGGCGTCTTTAAGGCGCTCAGCGTTTCAAGGCAGGGTGTCCAAGTGCCAGGTCTCTCTCTCACTGAATCTTCATCATCATGTTATCTAATTATTCGCTGGATGACGATGAGGGCTGTGGTAACGGTTTTATAAGATCATCAACATCTCGATCGGTGTGGGATCGTCTCCTTGCAGCGGTAGAACCCTAAGTAAAGTGGAGCTAGCACTTATTTCGTCAAAACGACAGAAATCTTCTAGATCTACATTTGTGTTCCTGTGCCAGACCCGCAGCAGCACCGGATGAAGTCCGTACTCGGTTGAACATCGTCTGCAGCACGTTTATTTGCCGACTGCTTGACGGTTGCTGTTCTTCAATGTATCCAGAGACGACCCATTCTATCGAGTTTGACACTTTTGGAAGTATTTCCGGTACCATTGACAGCAAACTCGCAATTGCACAAGATGTCAATCGGTTGGTGTTGTACGTCATTTTACATGAGCATTATGTTAATGTATGGACGATTAGCATAAAAAAACTAGGATCCCCATTTTTATAAACACAATGACGCATAACAGTTCTCGTTTTAAGAGGCACGTTGCTCTTGATGTGCAACGTGGCGTTGTTATCTTGGTATATTG